TAAAAAACAACGGTTTATAAATTAAACTGATAAATTAAACGGGCTTTACCAGTGCCTGCCTACTTGAAATAAATGAAAACAATAATACACGTGGAGGAAAATTATGTTACAATTTGATGAAAAGGTCTTGTTTGCATCTACGATCGAAACTTACGTAAATTTAGTACCAGGAGCGCATGTGAAACGGCGACGTCGCTCCGCCACCGCTGCCAATTTGTAAAATATTGTATAACTAAAATACTCGACGATTGCAAATGTAAGTATGAAAATGTGGATTGTAGAACAATAAGAATATAAACAAGTTTAAACACAAAACTAACGTAATGTGATTTAGCATTGGAATAATATATTATTAATAATATTTAAATTTGTTTGTTCCTCGGTGACACGGGAGAAAAATATATAAATAATTTTTAATCTAGTCCGTACGTTTGTTGGTTTTCCTGGTAGTTTTTTTTAATAAATCGGAAAAGTTTATCATTTTTCTATATTCTTTTATTACCTTAGCAACAAGGGAAAAAAATACAAGTAATAATATATTACTCTACTCAATATTATTTCTTGTTAGTAATGGATTATCGTTGCGTACAGATAATTTATGTAAATTCAATTACACTATGCGTAATCTATCGTGTTTTCCAACTTTCCTTCTATAACTGTACCACATCTATCATAACAGTAGGTATTTTTTATTATTGGTATAATATTATATCGACGTCTTAAAGGGAATTGGACAGCGTATACACCATGTTCGTGAAATCCAAAAATCTATTTTCTCCTGTTTAATGTTATTTTAAATAGTTACATTTAAGACAAGTTGTTTGAACTAACATGGATTGTTAAACAAAGTTACGTGACATAATACTATTAATTTATTTTATTAGTTATTAATTTTGAGATTAATAAAATACACCAGAATTGCTGTAATTACTAATAAAACTAACGATTTCGGATTGGGAGAGGGGGTTCGATTTCCCATAACTTTCGTGGCTATGGCACTGCCTTGCAAAGTGCCAAAATTTAAAGTTAAAAATAAAGTTTTCGTTGATGATCATTTTAATTTATTTTTCGTTGTTAAGTTTTTATAAATAAAATCTTTTTTAAACAATCATTATTATCATGGACAGTATTTTGTTGAAAAGAATGAGTAAATAAGTACTTTGAATTAAACTACATTGTATATAATTAATTTTTTAAAGATAATGATAAAAATAAGGATGCGGTTTCACCTACCACACAAAAAATTGCAAACATTTGAAAAAACAATTAGCTAATTAATTGTAAATTAATTGACAAACACATTTAAACTGGTAACAGTCAATATCTGGTCTGATGTAATTAAATTAATTAAATACAATTACTCTAAATCAATAACAAAAATGAAATCTTAGAATAGTAAAATATTTTTACTACATACATAAAAACGTGTGTGTTAACTGGGTAAGTTTTATTCAATATTATGCATTATCCTTTAATGACATGTATATTGTTAACAAAGCAACGCTATCAATTAAACTCTACTTAGAATTGTTTTTTCATTGGCAATGGTTTATCATTGCTTCCAGGTATACATTGAATTCTTTTCTGTATCCTACCTTCCGAACTTTGTGTTCCCAACAATTGACATTATTATATAATAAGATTATTTAATACAACACTACTTACAACAGTGGCTATACCCACATACAAACTATAAAAGTAAGAACCTTTTTTTCATAGAAAGCTTAACATTTTAACTCAGGTTTTCGAGGGTTATTTATAAGTAAAGTTATTCCACTGTAAAAGGAATAAAAGGGTAGCATAATTTTACAATTATATTTTTAAGGTTCTTAAAAATAAAAATTTAAATTAGATATATGTAAATTTTCAGAAGCCATTTTTATAAAAAAATTAGTTTACTGCAGGGGTTGAATAGAAACAATATTTCAATAATTATTTTATACAATTGTTATAGTTAAATAGTACACAGCAAACATATTTTCAAACAAATGTAGATTTTACAAAAATTTGAAAACACAAAATATTAACTACAATGAGTTAAAAATTAATTTTATTCAAAGTCAAATTAAATCTAAATGATTTGGGAAATAAAACTCTTATCGAGATAATGGAATTGTAATTACAAACATTCAAGTTGAAATGTTGACAATAATAAAATTTAAAAGTAGCTATTTGTATATTTTACAAAGTATACAAACATAATTATAAAGTAGACAATGCTATTCAATTACAGACATGTAAGTATTATAATATTAAACATAGATATCCAAAAAAATTAATGTTTCTATTAAACATTATTGTAAAAAAAAAATGTATTTCTACATTAAAAATGTAATCAACACAAATAAAGTTTTTGAAAATTGAATTCAAATTAAATCAGCAACTGAAATAAAAATAAACTATAATTAATACACTTTTTATAATATTTTGAACAAATCCCTACAGGTAATTCTTTTACAAAATAATGTTTGATAGTTTCATGACAAAGTAATTGCCTGCATATAATAATCAATGAGAAAAAAATATTATATATTTACCATTCATTGGCATTTCATCAATTTGTGTGGAATAATATTGTTCTATATCACGCAAAATTCTAATATCATCACTTTTTACAAAATTGATGGCCACTCCCTTTCGACCAAATCTTCCAGACCGACCAATCCTACAGTCAAATTAAATAACTATATTAAATATTATATTAAAATAAAATTGCATTTTGAGACAATAACATTATAAAATGGTCTGTTGTACTCAAATTATTGTTTATTTAATAATGAGTACTTTTTGTTTCATAAACCAAGGATTTTGGTTTAATTATTTTATTTAAAATGTAGAAAATANAAGAAACTTGTTGTACGTCAATACCTCTTGCCCATATATCGGTAGTAATTAAAACTCTTCTGTAATATATATACATAAATTAAAATAATTTTCAAATATTAAAAGCTTTGATTTAATAAAAATTGTATTAAATTTATCAAGTCTTTACATTGAAAATATACTGTAAATACTTACGTTTGACCAGCACGGAATTCTTTCATTATCGCATCTCTTTCTTTCTGTGGCATATCTCCATGCATAGAACTAACTGTAAAATTAGATTCGCGCATTTTTTCGGTAAGCCAGTCCACCTAAATAATCAATTAAACAAAATGTCATAATGATCTATATGACTGGAATTAGTGCTCCACCAACAATCAGAGCTGACGATGGTCAAATGTAGCTATATCAATGAATGCTTATGAACAACTACAGTGTAGCGCTGATAAATTTATATACACATATAGCTGCATCGCACTGACAAGAACCGTTGGTCAGGCTCATTCATCAATGGTGGCCTTTAGTTTGACACTGAGAGGGGCAACCATATGCGTGTATGCATATTTATGTATTTATATTACAACTTTATTTTATTGTTGGCTGTCAGCTAAGCACTAAATGTTCGGTGATGACTGATAATCGGGGAGCATGGTCAGTGTGTACTGCCAGCGCTAACTGTCAGTCGTACACTTATTCCAGCCTATAAATTGACACTATAATGTACCTTTCTTTTTGTACTACAGAAAATAACAGCCTGAGTAATAGTCAGCGTATCGTACANCTATACGCGTGTATGCATATTTATGTATTTATATTACAACTTTATTTTATTGTTGGCTGACAGCCAAAGCACTAAATGTTCGGTGATGGCTGATAATCGGGGAACATGGTCAGTGCGTACTGCCAGCGCTAACTGTCAGTCGCATACTAATTCCAGCCTATAAATTGACACTATAATGTACCTTTCTTTTTGTACTACAGAAAATAACAGCCTGAGTAATAGTCAGCGTATCGTACAGATCACACAATGTATCAAATTTCCATTCTTTTCGTTCAACCGCAACAAAAAACTGCTTAATACCCTCTAATGTGAGTTCATCGCTAAAAAAATGGAATTAAAATAATTCATTATCGTGACTTTTTTCCATAAATATATATATATAAATATATATATATATATATATACATCTTTTTTTTACTAACCGTTTCACTAAAATTCTAATAGGATCAGTCATGAATTTATTTGTCATTTCAAGTATTTCATGGGGCAGAGTAGCAGATATAAGTATGACCTAAAAAGTAACAAAAAATTAAAATTGTTTCACGTGTAAAAATAATTCAATTATACCTGGGTAGCAGGTGGCAAGAACCTATACACATCATATATTTGTTCCTTAAATCCCTTGTTTAACATTTCATCTGCTTCGTCTAATACTAGTGTTTTTATATTTCTTGTACGCAATGTTTTACGTCTGATCATGTCTATTAAAGTATTTAGTTTACAACAAAATGTATTAATATTGAGTTCTGAATTAACTGTATACATACCGAACACTCGGCCAGGTGTTCCAGAAACAATATGTTGGCCGAAGTCCAATTTTCGTAGATCCTCACCAAGATTTGTACCCCCAATACAAGCATGACACTGGATATTTAAATAATCTCCCAAAGCTAAAACCACCTACACAATCAATAAAATTAATTATGAACCTACACAATCAATAAAATTAATTATGATTTATAAGTTGCATTGAACTTCCCAGTGTTGAAGTCAAATTCCCCTTATCGAATGCATTAAAAATTACAATAATACCTTTTGGATTTGTACAGCAAGTTCTCTGGTAGGTGATAAGCATAAAACTTGAGTATCTCTTAATTGAGTGTCAATGGATTGCAGCATAGCAATTGAAAATGTCGCTGTCTTACCCGTACCAGACTGAGCTTGGGCTATGACATCGCGTCCTTTGATCATCGGTTTGATAGCTCTTTGTTGTATAGCCGATGGGCGTTCGAAACCTACAAAAAAACCCCATTGAAATAACACAATATTAGTAATGCATAGGCAAGTAGTATACACAAGTCTTAACGGTTAAGAGACTTACCGTATGAGTAAATANGTCAAGATTCAGTAACGCGCACCGGCAACAAAAAAGAACATTAATTAGTGATTTTGATAACATGGATTTTATCGAAGCGTCTGTATCTGTTTATCAGAAGTTATCATAATTTAGGACATAATAAATTTTTCATATCATAATATGATTGTAAAAATATTAAAGAAAATTAAATTTGATAATATAAGTAAATTATATTGTTTAAATGTATTAATTAATAACAACAAAATGTATAATGTGTGTACTTTATATCCTTCGTCTAGACATACCCAGCATATTGCAGCCTTAGATTTAAAATTTTAGAACAGACAGTAAAAAGCAACGGTTTATATCACTGATAAATTAAACTGGCTTTATCAGTGCCTGCCTACTTGAAATAAACGAAAACAATTTTTCTAAAAGAAATTTTTACTGGGGAAAAACTCCAAAGAGGTCATTTTTGGATTTTCTTAAGTTTTCACACAAATTTGAAAAATAAAAAAATAAATACTGGAAATCAGTTCTTCCACTGTTGTAGGAGGTTAGTGGGGAAGGTGGAATACATAAGGTTATTTCATTTACATCTGTAAGCAATGATTAAACATTAGTGACGTAAGAAAATTCCAGTCGTAGTAATAATTTTAAGTCCTATCTTTATTTTTTTTAACCTAACCTTTAATTTTGTATAATATTATTTGAGATTGTAACGTAGTTCTAACGTAACAGTATTTTTAATATCATATAGTTTTAATAAAACATAGACAAAAACAACGCTATATAAACTTGGCAACGTAAATTAAAAAACAGTTCGCAATCGTTCGTTTTTTTGGCTAAAAAAAAATTCTTTCATAAGCGACATTTGTTCTCAATCGTGTTTCATAGTACACACATAAACCTGCACCCTAATGACGTAATATAATTTAATAAATTCCATCTTATATTTTAAGATCATATATCATATAGATACCTAAATTAACCTCATGTTAACGTGACAAAAAAGTTCTATTTTATTAAAAAATTTAAATTTAAATTTTAGATTTGTAAATTATCGAACCCTAAAGGTGCGATTCCTATGCACGCGTCTAGAGACGCGGTCGACGAGTTGTTATTTGACTTTTATCCGTGCGATCTTTATTGATTCCTATGTACACGTCAGGAGACGCGCGGCTTTTTGGCACTAAAATAATTAGGCACGTACACGCAGTTGTATCAAGGCCTCTGTTTGGTTATGTTGTAGGTACTTGTATATTCATATAAGTGTGTTTTAAAATATTATTATTGTTATTAGTTTGTTATTACCCATGTCTTTAACAAAAAAACAAAAATGTATTTTAAAACTACTTCTATTACAACAAATAGAAGAAGAACAAACATTTATAAAATACGTTCAGACAAAAAATAAAAATGAAGTGCGTGAAATGTACTTGGCCAGGGAAGCTGAAGGATTTTTCAGTTTCCTGGTTGAAAAACATTTATGACGAGGCGAAACTAAATTCAGGGAATTTTTCCGATTAAGCTGGGATCAATTTAATTATATATTGAACCTAGTTGAGGAAGACATAAAAACCAACCCAACCATCAAAATTAGAAAACCAATAACTGCTGCTGAAAATATAGCAGTTAGGCTTAGGTAATGTAACATAATATGTTATTTTGTTATATTGTTTATATGTTCATAGAATAATTTATATTCTTTAGTACCTATGTAATATTAATTTTAAAATAATGTGTTTAAAAACATTTTTATTGATAATAAATTATATTTAACATCTCGTTTAATAAAAATTAACAATGCAGTATAAAAAAAACCAAACAATTTTTAAAAATGCCAATACATCATAACAAAAATGAATATTTTAGCTATTAACCGCGCGGCCGACGAACGCGGCGTCCGCGGTCATAGGAATCGGTTATACTTACTAAAAACAAGTAAAGTAGTACCTGCGCGGCTAAAAGTAAATCGCGCCGTGTCGGCCGCGCGTCTCTAGACGCGTGCATAGGAATCACACCTTAACACTAACTTACATAACAATTGCGTCACAGTCAAATACGTAAAAACGGAATGAAAGAAGCTATTTCTTATCTGATCCGTATAATAACGACAAACTTTAATTAAAAGCTTTTGTAACTGTAGCTTTTTAACTTTAATTAACTTTTTAATAATGGTTTCCATGAAAAATTCAAGCATTTACAAAATTAAAATCGAAAAACGGGTCTTTTCAAAAAAAAAAAAAAAGGTTACTGGTAAACAAACCAAGTTCCAGATAATGTATAGATGTATAGGTATAATTATGGTGACCAGACGAACTCTTTTTTTTATGGATTATCCTATGTCCTTAACCATAGTGTTAAGTACATGTAATTTTACTTTTTTTTTAAAAAATATTATGAGCTAATATATGTTTATATGATTTTTTTATAATTTGATTATTCATTAATATTTTAATATTTTATGGTTCTGCCTAATGCATTCCAAACTGTAAGTCCCAAGTCTACAGGTGACTGACAATGATAGTGACAGCTGGAGAACTACTGTTTGACGAGAAAAAATATGTTTTTACCATCATAACCACTATATAAGAGCCACTTTTTGTTCTCTCGATTATTATAATAGATTAATGTGGTAGATGAGTAGTTGATTTAAATTTCAAAATATTTTCATCATAAAGACACAAACCAAATAAGTTAACATTATGATTTCGAATAATTAAATTTTATAGTTGATAATAGAAAAAATAATAATAGAGTAATCATATAAAAAAAATGTACATAGATGGAGATGAGTTATGGGCAAAATGGGTAGAATAGTACACACATTGGCTAATTCATTCAAGGGAGGGTTTTTTTTTTATTATAGAGGATCTACATTTTAAAATGTACATTTTTTTGGATTTCTATATCTAGTTACCATAAGTATAATGTATAGGTATGTTCACGTTTCTTTGAATTATTTAATTATTTACTAGGTACCAGACTACCAGCACATTTTTGATATTTATGACTAAAAACTAAAAAGTAAAGAAGTTTAAAAATTAAAATTAACTTAAATGTAACTGTAATAAATTGTATATATGTAAGACAAATAGAAATTTTAAAATAAGATATAAAGAACACATTTCTGAAATGAAACTAAAAAGGACTGCCCCTAATTCAAATTTCACTAAAAATGTTTTAGAAAATAACCATAATATAAGTTTTGATATTAACACAGACTTACAGTCGCATTTTACATTTGACTGTGATACAACTGATAATGAATTTTTAATTCAAAACCGGTTGTATAATATACTTATCATAATACTCCAGGGGACGCATTTTTTTATTTGTATATTTATTTATGAGTATTAACCATTTTAATTATTTTGTTTTTACTTTATTATTTTATTTTTAATTATTATTATTGAATAAATGATTTTTGATGAAATTGAATTGCATTATTTTATTTTGTGGTATTAAATGGGCTGTTGAATGTAAAACTTGATTTAAAATTTAGTAAAGGAGTGCATTTCCGAAAAGGAAGTGTTTTGACCCTCTAACCACCCCCTCTGTATGTGACACCGATTCCTATCATTTTTGAATTTTAATAAATTTGGATGTGCACATCAATAATATCAATACATTGTCTTTTTATAGTGTAAGTTGAAGACGGCACTCTCCGTTTTAATTTAATCTAAGACCAAAACTATTAATAACTTTTTTCATCCGGCCTGTTGGTCTAGGGGTATGATTTTCGCTTCGGGTGCGAGAGGTCCCGGGTTCAAATCCCGGACAGGCCCACTTATTTTTGCAGTTTTTATGTTTGAAATGGTATCACAAATACTCTGGATCGACTTTCACTGAGAACCACAGACCAGAATACCAGATGTTTCTTATACTGACTTCAAACTGGGTCACGCCACAAATTACAGTCCACAAGTGATAGTAGTGACTTCTGAAACAATGTATACTATAATATATAATAATAATATACATATAATATCTACACGTTCAGCCTTGCCCATGTAAATTTATAATATTTTTATTCCCATTTTGCTTATTAGTATACTGAACTAAAATAAATAGGTGGATAGAGCATAAAGCATAGAGGGCAGACTAAAAGTATTTTATAGTGTGTCATACATTTTTTCATTATTGTTACAATAGATACCCACAAAACAAAGGCATTAAACTTTATAGCTTTATAATTTGTACAATAATACTTTATAAATGGAACATTAGATCTAATAGGTAAATTGAAAGATGAGCAAAATTTAATTTATGACAATCCAGAAATACCTCAAAATAACAACAATCAATTTCAACCTATTTTTAATCACTCGACTTACATCAGTGAAGAGGAAATCATTAGTTAAATTTCTAAATTTAAAAATGTGACTTTTCTAGTCTTGATGGTATCTGGATTCACTTACTAATATCAAATAAATTAATATTAGCCATATCTTCAAAACATATCTTCAATCTTAGTATTCAAAATGCAATTGTACTTAATCTATTTAAACAATCTATAGTAACACCAGTTTTTTAAAAGGGAGACAAAAATTTTATTTGTAACTATATCAATCAATTTTTTTAATCTCTAATATTTCAAGTCTGAAAAAATTGTTAAAGATTGATTCCTAGAAAATAATAATACAACAAAACTTTAATTCTTATAGAAGAAAAATTGATATATTTAATTGGGAAAGATCTCAAATATTATCAAATACCAAGTCCTCATCAAAGTCCAATTGGCATAGCAAATTTAAATAGTTCTATGTATTATGAAAAAGAATTTGAAAATGTGCCAATAATTGAAAGTCAACTTACATTTAACCAAAAATATATTTATAATACAATTTTGAAGAGTATATCAATTCCTAAATCAGTAGTTTATTTTATTAGATGCCCCAGGTAGCCCATGAAAAATATATGTACTAAATTTACTTAAAAATTAAAAATTAGAGCTCCAATGTAAAAAAACTGGAATTTGAAAAAAAGGTTAATAGAAAAATCAACTTCAAATAATTAATCAACATTTTGTACACCATGTTCCAGAATATAATGACTTTTCTAACAGTTATCAATATTTCTTGTAAGATTATCAACAATTTATGTGATAACTAAACATTTGTACATTGATTTTTATGGTTTATTTACCCTTTGGGACTTTTTTTAAAGTTAGTATCTACACAACTAAATATTATAAATAGGTAGTGCAGAGGAATTCTAGCATTTACAGATTTGTTTTGGACTGTCATAAAAAAGCTAGAATAAAATTTATTTCGTATTATAACAAATCCAAATCTGTAATAATATGTTACATACTTTGGTTTTATTTATTTTTTGAATACTTTTAGAGATTTTATGCTTTTTGGGAGCTTTAATTTAATAATTTTTCAAAAAAAACATTCATTTAAATGACAATCATAGGTAAAATATAGTATTTTTTAGTTGTAAAAATCAGCTTAGTATTTGTCTGTTTGAATGAAGTTTAGATCCAATTAAAGTTTCGCTTTAATGAAGCCAATTAAATAAAAACCATAATTTTTCGAATGGCTAAAGACCTAATTATTAGAGGTAATAGCTATAGGTAGCAAGTAGGTACCTATACTGTAATTTACAAGAATATTTATAAAACTTCAATGTATAATTTATACATACCAATAATTTGAGTCAATATTTGAATGTATGTTGTATTAAATTTGAGTATATATTAATTTGATTTTACAAATAAAAATAAAATTTTAACTTCTTTCTGACATAAGAATACTAGTAGAGTAGTAAACTGACATTACAATACGCAATAAAAAATTTAGTTTTTGTATCAAAAGCATAGGGAAATAATAATAACGTTTAAAAATAAAAATATAGTTATCAGTTTATCATAGAAAAAACGTTGATAAACGAGCAACCTCTGAATATGTGATTATTTTAATGACAAATTAACCAATAATTATTTTTAACATACTTCGAATCAATATTACGAGAAAAGATTATGGAAAAACATAAAAATTGTTTAGTATGTATATAATCGAGTAAAAATATAAAATATATATAATATATACAATAAAAAATATAAAAATATAACAAATGATACTGTTTGGGATTTTTTGTGTATTATAATCATACATTAAACATTTTATTACTATTTTATAGCGCTAATTATATAAAAGTTGAAATATTAATTTTTTTTTTTAATTATAAATGTATATTCATTTTTCGTTTTGATGTTTTAGCAAGTTGATCTATAACATCATTGATATCGCGATAAATATATTTTAGTAAGGCTAAACCATTTAAATGTTTGTCACGAAAAATTCCTCAAATATGTTATCAAAGACGACGGAGTGTTGAAAAGTTCTCCCGTGGCAGTAGACACTGGAAGTGTTATGCATATTTGAATAAGTTTAGATATTACTAGATAAACATCTGGACTAGTTTGGAAGTTTATTTCAACAGTATTTTTGGTCTTGAGTTTGGAAGATGTTAAATTTGAATATTTAGTGTACCAAAAATCTAATTATCCATTTAATGATCATTTAAATTGTTACATTCATCAATTATATCTTGATATGTTTCTACTAATTGTTTGAATTTACCTTTAATATTTTCAGATTTCTCATTTCTATCTTAGGTAAAATACAATCAAAATTATTCAAAACAATCATGTACGATATAAATTTTTCGGTCAATTGGTCTAAACAATTATCTATAAAAAGTATGAGTGCTTAAAAAATATTTTGGATCATCTGATTTATATTGACGTTGCAAACTAACACTAATATAAAATTTTTCAGTTGTTATTGATAAAAATAATTGTTGAAACTCTACATCACAATTTTCTCTAATATCCTGAATATTATTTTGAACATTAGCAGCTTTTGATACAGTTTTTTAATCAAGATTTACTGTTTGAAGATTTCGGCTAAGTGGAAAACTTATATAAGTATTTTCACTAAAATAGATAAAACTATTTGAAATTTTAACTATTTTATCGCAGTAAGAAGATGACTCGCAGAACTAAGTGTCAGAATCTTTTCAAAGTGTAATTTTTTCTAATGCATGTAAAATGGCTGGTTGAAGTTCTCCAAATAATATACTTTATCTTTTTGGATAACCATAGATCTACTTATTACTATAATATATACACTACACTGGACTGGACTTGTATATTATTAATTTGTATTATTTGTGTAAACTATTAAATGTAATAACTTCTTTATTCTTTGTTCAAACTATATATTAGAATTTTTTTTTTAATTTCAAAGACATTTCGGGAGGGGGGGGGCTACAAACCCTCCTAGATACATTACTGATGTTAGACAAGATTTAATTTTCTATTGACACAGTAAATTTTTGCAATATAATCTTCCTATCTATTTTGTTGGTAAGATCTCTTAATAGTAGATAGCTAATTAAATCATTTTTGACACATACTGGTGCACAACTAGTTTTTTAATCATGTATAGCTGAGGAGCATTCACACATTGAAGAAGAAATTGGAATTGTAAATTCTCACTTGAAATAATTTATAGAAATTTGAAAACAAACTTTGGCTACATTGGTTTTTCAAATCTTTAAATTCAAAGTTGGCTAATAGACTATTCTTTAACACCAGAATTTTTGCTGAACTAGGTGTTGAAATTTTCAATATATCCCAGCATATCAAACAATGAAGATGAACAGTTTAATATTTCAAAAGACCATAACAATGTCTATGTAATAAACATAAGTATTTTAAATAGTTAGTTATTTTTTTATTAAATGTATTAATTATGAATGTTTATAAAACACAAACTATTAACTTCATCCACATTAAAAAAAAAAAAGCTGTCAATAGATTTGGTTAGCTCTAAGCTCTCATCAGAAAAAAATGTGTCCAACTTTATAAATTTTCTATCAATGAATCTTAAAAAAAAAAATTTTATGCTAATATACAATAGTATTTAAAGCATTATTTTCAGACTGCTCCTATTGTGACTCTTTGATACTATAGTCAGATAAATGCATAAAAATTGTTTAACAATATATCATTATAAAAACTTGAGTACAGACATTTTAAATGTATATTTTATTTTATAAACATACAGTATCATTAAATAAATCAGTACTATAAACGATGATTTAGCATGCTCATACTATGTTTTTGGTTAAATGTTGCGTATATTCAAATTCTGATTTTTGGAATTTTTAAGTGTAGTTAAAGATATTTTCCAATACTTAGATTTTTCACAACATTTAAGGAGTATACTGTGACAATACAAACTTTGGTTTTTCAAATGAAAACCACTAAAAATTCCATAATTAGACAAAGTATTTATTACTTTATATAAATTTTGGTGTTAAAATTTTTGATTTCCATCAAACCGTTGATAATGTATTTCACTTATAAGTTTAGGTAGGGGGAAAGTAGTAGAGCACTTATAAAATCCTTTGTTGCTACAAAAATGATATTCCACTTACTTTCCCCCTACCTAAACTTAAATGTGAAATATCTTGATGATTGAGTTAAACTGATAAAAAACATGGAAAGTAAATTCTTCAACTTTGATACAAGTTTTTGACACCACCATTTTTTTGAAAAATTGAATTTACAAAATGGCTATGTTGATTTTTTTTTCAAATTTCAAATACAACTACATTTTTATTTCAAATTTCTAAACATTAAAATTTCACTAAAAAATTATATTTATATTATAACACCAATATGTAATATATTTTTTTTTAAACTTAAAATTATTCAATAGAACATGTTATTGTATTAATTAAATAATCCTGCAACACCCTGTATACCATACCATTTACAGTATTAAAAAATATAAAACTATGAGTATATAAAGTTTATTAATAATATGATACAAAAATCCAACATGAAAAATAAAAAACATAAATATTTGACATTAGGCCAAATACCATTTAATCTATATGAATTAATACAAATATATTTCAATGTTATAAGTTACTCATTATGGTAATTTTCAGGAATGTAAAAATATAAATTAAATTCAAAATAATAAATTACAATAAACTGTTTAACCCTGAATCTTACATAAACTATTTAATTTTGTTCAGATCTTGTTCTAAAACAAGACCCTTTTAATAAGATCTTGTTCTTCTTGAGTTAATGCAGGTTTTAAAAATTTTGATTTCTCTAGGACAGCTATTTCAAAGGCAAAGTCCCTAAAATCATAATAATATAAATTATTAAATTGTGTGTATAATATTCAAGTGTTTAAGAATTTAAGTGGCACATTTCTATAAAATTGCTTTGCATAGTTAACAATTAGGTTATTAAAGTAATTCATTAGTGGAATTATCACCTGCACTTATTCACCACATAAATACATTTTGTGCACAGGTTTCTATTTCTATTTGGTTAAAAATATATTATTTATATTGTAATCCAAAAACAGTAATCTAAGCATTATGCACCTACAATAGTTTTTTTTTTTTTTTTAAAGAAATAGTTATGATTTTCTTATGAAATCACTACTTGTATTTACAAATTTTGCAAATCCTTCAGCTTCTATAATTATAAGCAACATAAAATATCAAAGTTGAGTTCTACAATAAATCATATACATATTTTGTACATAAATAACAATAACAATTTACTAATTTCTATTATTAGAGGTACCTATAAATCAAGGAACTGTGCCATAGATGATTTTAAAAAATAGCTGTCAATCAAAATAGTATTAAGTTACATATTATATTCTAATAATTAATTACTTATTTTGAATAATTCTACATAGACAAATTGTATTACATTGTAGACAATAATCCCTAATTAATACAAGCATAAAATATTTTGTTAGGTTCATGTTAGGTTCAATGATTAATATAATTAATAATGGTAGAAGAACTAATTTTAGGAATTTTTAACTATGGTAGACTTAAATTTCAACTATGTAATCAAAGTTAAAGGATCTCTTTACTAACAACCATAACTGGGTATTATTCAAGACATTTTAGGTAAGCATAATGTACTAACTATACATTTAGGGGATTAGTAGATTATTATTTGTTGGTTATTAGTATAAATAAAGGATGTACTAAAAAACTTTAATATATGTTCTATAAAATGTTAAATTTGTGTTAAAACATCTTTATATTGGTTAAAAAAATTTAGCATTCCCATCACTATCTTCTTTTGAAGATTAAAAAAAAAAAATTATATAATATGAATAGGTCAATTGTTCACTAAACAGGTCACAACTGATAAGTACACTACACTAATAAATCAGCATGGTAATTTAGTGTGTGCACTTATTACCATACCTATAAGCAGTGGTATGGGAAAGGAGTTAATGGAGAGGCAGTTGACTCTAATTTTTTTAATGGGTGGTAATAGCTGATAAATACAAATCTAATTTTATAATAATAAATGTAGGAAAATAACTTTAAGGAAAAAATATTTTGATAATGATCCAAGTGCTAGACAGTGGCCACTAGCGGTAAAGCAGAAATAACAGACATTTATTGTTAATAATTAATTATTATTATGTTTTGATTTTTTATTTTTACTGTCTATTATAATAATATTGAGCTCTAAAAGATATTAAAATTGATAATGAAGCTTCTTCTTATTATTCTTTTTCTTTTTATCGCTTTCAACCCAACTATTTGGGCTCAGCCACCCTTGTCCTAAACTTCCATTTGACCTAATCCATCATATCTTCCTGCCATAAACTTTTGTCTTCACACCTTCTCAATCTATCCAACCACCTCTTTTTTAATCTTTTTTCCTCCTACAATATTATTTGAAAATAAATGTTGTTCAAACATATAGTTATTTAGGTACTAAAAGAAAAATGTTGTATTATTGTTAAATTTAAAGTCAAAGAGATCCTTTAAATAATGCCACTGACAAAAGAAGTTAGTGTTTGATATCTTAAGTATTTTTCATAATAATTGGGAAAAATCGAAAAATACTAAATATATAAGTTTTTCAAATTACGGAACAACAATTTCATTATTTTAAATATTTACTGCTTATGATTTCTATCATAAATATTGCTTCAATAGATAAATGACAAGAGACCTTTTTTGTTATATTTTTAATCTAGTTGGTGGTCAACAAAGTTGTTCTTTAATTTTCTTTACAGTTTTTTTAATAATTGAGTTAAACCAAAAAAATTCAGAAAGTACAGAAAAATTTACAAAAATAATTCTTTTGTTCAGACTTCAATTGTAAACTTAAAATGTTGAAAGAAAACTTCTATTTACTTTTTCTAGATGGAGTATAAGTTTCAGAACATTTATTTAAGCTATTTATAGATATTTTAATTTTGTGAGTTTTTATGCAATTTTTATTTGGTAAGTACTCTATGGATTAAATTATTAGTCCAAACCGAAATACTTGAAAATTTAACAGGTTTATTATAAGTTAAGTACATTATGGTAAAGAAAAAAAATTGATTTCATGTTGTATATTTTTTTTTTTTATGAGAGTTTTAAAATCAAATTGTAAATATTAAACTTTTTAAAAAATATATAACCAAACTTTGTTCCAAATCGTTATTCATTATCATTGGTTTATTGTTGGTTACAAGTCTAAATTAAATAACTTCATGTGTCCTAACATTATTAATGGTTTATCATTGGTTAGAAGTTTAAATTAAATAACTATATAACCCATCTTCCCAACTGCAATAGTGGTTGTACCCCTCTACAGTATTAGTTCTTTTTTTTTTCTGTCTGTAAATAACTTTTTCGAAAAGAAATCTAGCTCTGACATATAAAGTTCCTTTAATGCAAAAACAATTTTGTCTTGTTGGTGTATTAGAGACATGCTCCAATCACCTTAAAACGGTATAGTTAGAAATATGCAAATAAATAAAACATCAATTTGTATTTATGTTTTAAAAGACTACAAAATACATTTCTATCCTACTCCTGAACTTTTAAAAAAATATGCAAATGAACTCACTACCCTTTACGTATTAGTTATTTTACCTCATAATTTTGTTTAATTTTATTATATGATCTTTTTGTGTGATCTGTATAGTTGATACATCTGCAATGTAGTGATTCTTTTCTTCAGAATTCCAACTGCAGTACTAGAAACAAAATAATGTATTTATTTACTTTCAGTAACCTGTCTTATTAAAATCACATGTGTATTAAATCCAAAATAACATATTGATAAGAAATAATTATTATAGTATACTTACAGTTAAAGTATTACTATACAACATTTCGTCATCCTTTTTGAATGGACAATATTTTTGTAATAATCCAAAGTTAGTTATTTTCCATAGAGTAGGAAAATTATTATCAACTATGTCAGTTTTATTTACAATAAATGATCCAATCTAAAATTAACAATCATAATATACACAGTTAACAAAATAGTATTACATAACTATATAAAAACATACTTAAAATATATACATATACATACAGTGAACTCATTGGATGAATTTACATTTGGTAATTGACCAGGCAGATCTATTTCTGATTCATATTTATCATTATCGTCAAATTGTTGGTTTTGTTTAGTTTTTCGAACATAATTCTGACATTTTGTTTTAATTGATGATTGTGTTGATTTTTGGTTTAAATCTTGTATTAATGATTTGTTGGTAACTTTATCCCTAGTTCCTAACTTATTATTCTTAATAGATAGGTTTTTGTTTGGCTGATAACAATTATCAGAAGTTTCAGCCTAAAAATAAATAATTCACTAAATAAATAATACAGTAGTATTAGAGTCAGTTGCATAATTATCAAAAATCGATACTTTTATAGGGTTGTTATCTTTAAATACATTCTCTGAGTTTACCTGTAGTCCTCCAGTCTCATGTTGATTTTTGAAAACTAAAATTAAATGAAACTAAGTAAATTATATTTAATAATACATGTTTTAGAAAACAATACATGGCATAGTACATATTTTATTCTGTTGTAATTTAAATTGTTTTATAAATAATAAATACAATTTCAATTATTAAACATTAACATTTTTAAAGCAATGTTAATATTATAAAGGTAGAAAATGTGATTTAAAATTCTAAACTAAAATGTCTGATTTTTGAATATTAAACAATAATAGCTAATGAAATATAATAATACATTATTACTTTATAAATTAATTTAAATGAATTTGTAAATTATAATGTTTAAAGAAATAATAATCAAAGTTTTATTTTTTTAAACTTTTATTGTTATTGTGGTTATTAACCACAATCAATGGATATTTTTGTAACATAATTTACAAAAATCATGCACACTACAAAAAAACATTACCTATGCATTTTTATAAAACATTTGCATATTAATTGTGTTTAAAAAAAAAAAATTGAAATATCCAAGCTGAATAAATAATACAACATGTAAATACTTGAAACTATATTTAGGAAATTAATATGTAAGTCATTACAAACTTGTGGTGTCAAACATAAATAAAATTGTTCATTTATGGACCTGTAGGTGCATAAACAAGACAATATTTTGGATAGTTCTTAAAGTTTAATTTTTATCACTAAATAAATTATAAAATTAAAAACTATTCAGTTAAATTATTTCAAATTTAAAAAAAAAAACATTACTATATTTAGTATAATGATACTAAAATAATTGTTTGTCTTACTTTTTTGGCTTACTGCTAAAAATAAAGCTTCCTCCAGTACACCTGTCAATTCCTCCTCTGTAGGAATATCAATTTCAGACTCCCTAAAATTATAAAAAAAAATACTCAAACAAAATTATACATATATAATATATAACATACATACATCTCAACTTGGTCTTTGTGAAATTTAATGTGTCTAGATGCATGTTGTGTAAATGTTATGGGTGCTAAATAATAATGATTTATGACACGAGGAATCCAACCAGCAAACTAAAATGTAGAAAACACTTTTTATTTTAATACTTTAAAGATTGTTCAATTGAATAATGTGTTATTGACAAATTAGGTATTAAGAAAAAAAAAAACAACATTTAATATTGTACTTACAGTTGAAACACCTTTGTACAACAATTTGCCCTTCTTTTTAAATGGAAGATATTTTTGTAAAAACCCAAAGTTAGTTATTTTCCATATTGGAGGACAGTCTATATCAATCATATCAGTTTTACGAACAACAAATTGTCCAAACTAAAATAATAATTCAAAAATCAGTTAAACTTTAATACTGTGAAAAATTGTAACTTACAATAAAATTATTTCCTACTTTTGGACCTTGATTTAGCTTATCTTTTCCAAGATTATTGACAGCAATTTTATTAAGTTTTTTGTTAATTTTTTCTTTAGGGTTACCACCATATACTATTTTGGGTGTCTTACATATTTTTTTTTTTTTTATTACTATCATTTCTTTTTCATTTTTATTTACATCATCTTCAATATCTTTTTTAAATTTCTTTTTAGCTCTTCTTTGATTTTTTTTATTACATTCTTTAGCAGCTTGTGTCTTGTTTTTAAGTGTTGATATCTTTTTTTTTGGCATTGATTTTTCTTTATTATCCAATGTCTCTAAGTTTTTCTTTGTAGCAGGCAGGCCTAAAATAAAAATAATCCCTAATTATATTCCATTTTCCAATATTCCAATATTTGTCAACATTTCATTTTCAAAGTATAAAATCATTAATGATACGTTTTATAAAAGTAATCTTAAAACTATAAATAATATAGGTATAAATTACAATTCACTGAAAATAAAAACTGAAAGGCCTGACAACTTCACACATAGGTGGATCACTGTTGGAGGCGAAAAGTTAAGAAGATAGAAGAGGGGAAATTTAATGTATATCTGAAAGCAATGATAAACCATTTCAAGGGAGAAAAACGATTATGAGCAGAGTTTAGTTGATAGTGTTGCTTTGTCAACAATATATATGCTATATTACTATTAAAGTAATTACATAGGCAGTTTATATTTTCTTTAATATTTGTTTAATATTTTACCTATTTTCTTGGTTATTCAACTTTTTAGGAAAACTCCTGGGAAAATTGAAAAATAACCACGCTAAAAAAGTAAAACCATAAACTTCTTTGCTCCACTCAGAATCTAAAATTCAAAAACTGTAAATATCAGAATGTCAAATATTAGTTTATATTTGACATTTACATATATATTTATTTAATAGCCATTTTTAAACAAAATGTTGTTAGAAATAAAAAAAATAGGTTACTTTATTTTCTACGGGTGTATGAAGGTTACAAAAATGTTAACTTTTGATTTTAAGTGAGAAATTTAATGGTTTTACAATGATTTTTTTTTCTTCTATCTGTAAAATACTTTTTGAATAGAAAACTTGTTCTAATCTAAAACCTGACAAATTTGTTTGTTGCATTTTGGCTCTAATTGGTGAGTAAGAAAGAATTTTTGATTTTTAGTGCAATTTCCTCAATAATTGAAAAAACTGGGTGGGATGGGGGAGGCAGAAAAAACAGTAAAATCATTATTTTCAATTTTGTAATTCAGTTGAAATATGAGTAGAATTTCAGCTGACAAATTCCTCTCCACTACAACCAACTCTGCTATACCCCATATGCAGTCCATACACCCAATTACTAATGCTACCCTACCGATTGTGTTATAGCATTGGTTGTAGTGGAGGGGGATTTGTTCACTGAAATACGGTTCAGATAAAATACTCATCAGTTATAATACAGATTAAATATTTGTGGGTTTAAATACTGTCAGCTATAATATAGTTATTCACTATTTATATGCATTTTATGTTTGGGAGTTTATTTCACATAATTTTCATTTGGTATGCACTATGTGGATACAATTAATTGACCAAACAGAAATATTTGAAAACTCAACAGGAAGTTTATTTTAAGTTGTACAGTGGTAAAAAAGTGAAGCCAGAATGTAGTAATTTTTTTTATATTATAATCAGCTTAAAATCAAATTTAAAGCATTACAAAATATGTATAACTTTATGTATCCTACCTTTCCAAGTTCCTATCTATAACAGTGACACACTCATCAACAAATAGTATCAGCTCTTTCTTTCATTGTTACTACTAAATAATTATTGTATTCATATTCGTATTAGTTAAAATAAATGTAAGACAATGAGACCAGGAGGTTATTATTTATTACTAAATACAATTGGGATTTTGACATACTATTAGTATTATATATTTGAGATTTTATGACTCTTTTAATTTAAATGTATAATTTTGTTTAAAAAAACAGACATGAAGTGCATAATTAGTTTCATTTTACAACTACTTAGTTTCAGCTTAAACCTGATCTTGGTGTAAGTAGTTGTGAAATAAAACTAATTATACACTTAATGTCTGTTTTTTTAAACAAAATTGTTTTATATTATTTGTATTTGATCATAATTGTGAAACCCCAAACATTATTCAACGGTTGTGAAAAACAAAAGCATAAGGTACTCCTGTGTATACCATATACCCAACAAAAATTGTCGAATGGTACATATTCTATCTACTAATTAATACAATTCATTAAAAATAATACATCTATCAAAACTTACTTAATTTATTGATGATATTTTTTTTGTTTAATGAGTGGTATGTTTGGCAGCCTTTTTTTTGGCATCTTAAATAAGTTATTTTCAAATCCTTGCCATTCACGTCCTGTTTGCCCGTTTTTTTTTGATATTCTTTTAAGGAACCTTTACATACAACTCCATTTCTTATTGTTGGACAATTGCCAAGGTTTGGCAATACGGTTTTCTCTTTATTAGATTTTTTAGATTTATCTAGATAATTAATACATATTACTATTAATAATAGAAATTAGGGATTAAGTTTTAGTTGAACTGAAAAGAAAGAGAATACAAAAATCACATTAGTAGGTATACATTAGAGAAAAATTTGATATAATATCAATTTCTTTCGAACATCCAAATATGATTTAAAAATTAATTAAACAATTGTCAATTGATAACTGTAAAAATTATTATATAAACATTATATCATAAAATTAAGTTTTTACATTAATGCCAGAGAAAATTTTGGGTACATAGGTTACACACATTGAATGTGATAACCGAAGTATTTACAATCAATGAAACTATTACCACAGAAACAAGTCATAATAATTAATATGACAAAATAGATAGGTACCTATAGGTATATTTACAGTTTTTTGATACCTATACTCAAACATTTTTTCACTTAATATACTTTTCTTATGCAATATTTTTTTTAAATGTGTGTTTTTGCTTGTACATTAAGAATGTAATAAAAGTCTCATGAACTTCGTTTGGAAGTAACCTATGGGAGAAAACTTCATAAAGTTTGGGTTTTCCATTTCACGTAATTTTTTTTATTTTTAAAACATATGTTTTTTAATGCTTAATCCATTAGTATAATTAAAACTTACCTATTATACTTACTTTTATAGTTTTTGTACATAAACCTTGAAAAATAGCATTTTTGGAATTAATCTAAAATATGATCAAAAATAGAACTTTTCAGTATTATTATTTGTAGTTATTTATATTTTGATAACAAAGTTTTTTATTGAAGTGAAAATAAGTCTATCTGGCTTAGTTTTGAAGTTGCAATGCATCATATTTTGCTGTGATCACTCAGACAATTTTAATCTAAAATAACCTTCAATTTGTTGTACAAAGCCATATCAGGTAGGTAACAAGGAAAAGTGAAAAGCACTATAGGTGACTAATGTGGTCACACTCAAGGGTTATTTTCAGGGTTGATAATATATATGTATAAAACATTTTATATGTTACACATATAATACACCATATATAAAACAACTAAAACTTATAAAACTTTATAACTAAAACATTTTTTTTTTAAAAGTCAATTTGATTTAAATCAATTTGATAAATTTTCTTAAATTTAGAATAAAATAAAAACAAAACAAATTATTTTTTGGTATTAATGTATTATATAAATATGTATATAGTTATTAAAAAAGAATAAAGAATAAATGAACTTAATAATTAATATAAGATATATAAAATGATGATTAAATTCAATTGACAATTATTTTACCTAATAATTTCTGTTCAGTTATTACAAAAAAAAAAAAAAATGTATACTGTACATTTTAAACATATGTATAATACATATTTTATACTTTACTGTATTATACGTTCTAACCATGGTTACTTTCAATTAAAATTGTCAGAATGAAAGCAGTGAAACACAGCGCTTTTAACTTTTAATACTCTAAAACTAACCCTGATAGACTTATTCCGACTTTAATAAAAAACTTTGTTATCAATATATCAATAACTACAAATAATAATGACAAAAAAAATTTATATTTTTCACCACATTTTGGATTAATTTCAAAATGCTATTTTTTAAGATTTATGTACAAAAATTATAAGAGTATGACAGGAAATTTTTGATTATACCAATGGATTCAGCATTAATAAATGCAAATTTTGGAAAAAAAAAAATTTGAAAACGTTAAATTCCAAATAATATCCGAAACGGAAAACCTGAACTTTATTAAGTTTCCCTAATAACTTTCAAATAAAGTTTGTTAAACTTTTTTTTTAATGTACACTCGAAAACACACATTTTGAAAAATATAGATTGGGAACTGGTCTAGAATTATGCCAACATTCCAATTTCTCTAATAACTGTTTAGCGTTTTATTTGGACATTATACTCATAGGAAACCACTAAAGTATTTTCGATATTTGTAAGTTTAGTTTTAACTCCGAGAGCCGAACAGCATGTATGAATAATATAATTTTTCCAAGTCCTTGAATGTCCACTTTTAAACCCATCAATTTTCTGCGGGATATGAGAAAATCGAAAATTCAATTATTTGGTTAGAAGGGACCCACAGAAAATATATGCCATTGGGATTTTTCAATATTTTGACTTTTTTTTCTATCCCAAAAGCCAGACTTCAACCTGAACTTTTATTTATTAAAAAATTTACTGATCTGCATACTAAACGGAAATATGATCATACGTATCCTTTTTGTCATGATAAATAGTAATGTAAATTTTAAATCAATATCGATATCTTCAGCCTAAATTTCTTTATCACAGTTGTATATATAATTGTGCATTAGAATCTAGATCAGTGATTTCCAAAGTGTGTTCCGTGGAACAATCTCAAGAGTTCAGCTAGATTTATGTGAATATTGAGAAAATGATTTTATATTATACCTACTTGGAACAAAATAAAAGCAGAAAACATAAAAAAAAACATTATCTCTGTATTTTCCCGATAATTACAATGACATTTATTGGATACATAATCCTATTCTGAATAAAAAAAGAACAATGTCATGTTATCCCTGTTCGAATATGAAAACCTTATTGAAATAAAGAGTATGTTATCCTTACAACATAAATTTGAATCCAATCTTTAGACAAATTTTGGATTGGACTTTAGGACGAATAATCATTTTTAGCTGAAAAAGTTATTCTGACCCTATTAGTTACCTTTTGTAATAACCTACAGTTGTTAGACTAGTTATTCCTCTTATGTTTATACTAAAATTAAGATCAGAAATAGATTGGATGCTGCTCCAGACCCAAAAAATTAAATTTCCAAATATAAGATCCAATTTTAAAGCTATTGCAAATCTAACCATAAAACAATTCCATTCATCACATTAAAATTATTAAAAGTAAACATATATTATAAAATTGAATTAATTATATTTTGTTAAAATAATTTTTTTTAATAATTAAATAATTGAACAATTTGTGTTCAGTTGAAGTTAGAGATATTGGGGTTCTACGAAACAAACTTTTTCTTAAAGGTGCTATGGCTGTAAAAGTTTGGGAACCACTGGTCTAAATCAACTGTATCATTGAAACCATGAATAGGACTTTAGAAAATTATTTATTTTAGAGCGCTTTCAGATGAGATACTTTGTGGCCGGCTACTTGTGTCTGAAAAGAATCGCGCGACTAAGATAACATTACTATAAATATACGCTTACATGAGACACAGACACGGAGTGTGTGTCGTGCTATCAAATTGGCATGTTTCGTCCCAGTCAGCCACCGGACACTGTGTCTGAACCTCTGATAATATATTAACTTGAATTAGAATGTTCAGATGACACACGTATTCAAATAACAGCAGAGTTGTACAGTGTACAGTTTCAGGAGTGCTTATTTATTTAATAGTATTTAATAAAATCATTATATTATTATTAAGTATGAGTTTCACCAGTTTTGATTTCCAACAATAGGATGCACCCACTGGAGCCTTTTTTTTTTTTTATTTTTATTATGTCTTCTTTTAAGCAATAGAGCTAGTAGTAGAGCTTCTTCTACTTCCATGGTTGAGTAAAAAATAAATAATAATTGTATGGAATCAGATACTCACGTACGTACGTAAGTGTCTCGTGTGAAAGACGCTCACACATGAAACACTTTTTGTGTCTTGTAGCGCGATTCTAATGGCCGGCCACAAAGTGTCTTGTCTGAAAACGCTCTTATTTCACATATATTACAACTGCTGACAATTACAAGAATAACATATATAATTGTATCATAGTACAAAGTTTGATGATATTTTATATTTATAACACTGATAAGAATCAGTAAATAAAGAGGATAAAGAATGAAGAATACTACCATTAAATAATATAGGCATCATTAAGGGTGCGTAGCATTTGGATTGGATTGTTATGACCAAAGGAAATGGAATAAGAAAGAGTGTTTGACTTCCAGAGACATAATAATATGTAAGTACACGGTAGTTAATTCTAAAAAGGAGATCAAGTAATTATTATAAATAATAGATGTATTTGGTGTATGCCAAAATATTAGTGACAATATTAATAGTTATTTCAAAAATGTTACTTTTTTTCTCAGTTTGAAATGATACATTTTTTAAACATTTGGTTTTCTTCTTTAAAACTAAGCTTTTAGCTGATTGGCTTTGTTTATCATAATTGTTTGTCTAAACAAGAATATACAATAATATAATTACTATTGAACTACAGAAATAGTGCATGTACTTACAGAAGAATATGTAGCCCATTTATCATTATTTGAAACTGAAACTCCTTCAGTTTCCTCAATAGCGTGAGTTGATTGATGCATTTCCATTGTGACTGTACAATTTAATGAAATATTAAAGTTACATTGGTAATAACTAGACGGGATAAATAAACTTCAAGTATTTTATATTTCTAACAAATTTATTATGCTGATAATTAATAATTAAAAATTTGATTCAACTGACTGTTGACAAACGGAATGAAATAAGAGAATTTTCGGCCACCTCAGTAAGGAAATGTGGAATATAAAGCTTGTTCTCGAATCATACGTTACCACTAATACACGTTATAAACTTAAAACAAATATAGGTTATGTAATAATTGTGCTCTTTTGATATAAAGAGTGAAATAATTATTGGATCGCAGAGTATGATAGGTACTACTACAATGAATACTACCAAAATCTTATCGTATATTCATGATACATCTTGTTTGTTATGAAAACATTGATAGGCGATAAGGTTTTCACATTTGTACGAACTACGATTTGTACCATACTCTGGGAGGTCTAATCTACTAATGTGTAATCAGCGTACCTATTGAATTTTACTATAAGCTCTACGGTTTTTCTTATTGTTTTCGGAGTAATTTTTTGGGTGGTGGTGTCCCGGGATGACGGAGTCAAGAGCGCCCACAGAACCGGGGGGGGGCAAAGTTTAAAGTATAAGACTTTTTTTTACAACTTACTACTTACAAGTAATCATGGCTTAACTATTTAAGCCATGCAAGTAATAAAACAATTAATATTTAATGTTAACTAAAATAGCAAGGGGGGAGCATGGCCCTCCCTGGCATCCCCCTGCGAGCGCCCTTGGACGGAGTTCTCTCATATATAATTTAGTAAGTAAGTATACACAAAGAAAATCTTTCTGAGTTACCAGACGTAAGAACGAAATTAATAATACCCAGATATTATCAGGGGCGTCATTTTAGTATTTTTTGGGGTGTGCGAGATTTCAAGCAGGCCATTATAAATATTTCACAAGGCCACATAAAAATTAATAAAGGTATTACGTACCATATGTATATTATTCTGCTTTTAATTGTTTCGATAGATTATGAATCGCAATAATCATAAATAATAAAAAGCTATTTAAAGTCGAAAAAATAATAAATAATTGATACTATACCTGTGAAAACCAATGATTAATGCATACAAATATGAATTATTGAAGATGAGAAATGCTACACAAAAAAAGAAGAAAAGCACACAATGTTATTTGTAACTTTTGTACTAGTAAACGCTCCAAAAAAAAAAAATATGTATATTTATATAAGAAGATATAAATGCTGGCGATTTTTAGTCCAGCAAATACATCTATAGTTTTTTCTATATTGATATTATTTACATTTTGTTTTTCAACATTTAACATCATAAGATTATTTAGCCTTTAAACATCGCCCATGAAATTGCGTAAATATAATTTTATATTTTTCATCTATGTACAAATCATTCATTTGATACCATTGTAATTGGTAAAGTTCGATGTTTCCTTTACCGTTTAACCATAAAGTTATTCAACTTTTGACCGTGAATAAGTTTCTTATTTCTATCTGTATTCTGTAGGTATCGGGTACGTCTGGTAAATTATAAAATACACGATACATTCATTGTTTAGGTACTCAGTTACTATTCATAACCCGATATTTGTTTATTAACAGTAAAATACCAATATTGTTAATATAAAAATATAATTTAATATTAATTATATAAAAATGATGCATTATTTAACCAGGCTAATTGGGACTATTTTAAAATTAAAGGATGCAACCGCAAACTGTGCTTTCCACCCCCCCCCACCCCCACCAAAATGACGCCCTTGTATATAATATTGAACAGTATGTCCTACCTACCTAGTACCAGTTTTAGACTGTACTCGTAGTATTTACCCAAGATTTATACTTTATAAAATACTTACATATATATTCTATAAACCTTAGTACCTACCTACTAAAACATCATGTGCAGTGTAGATCGTGTGGAGTGTATAGTATTTAAGTAATCGAGTTACCACTATATGCGTGATTACATTACCAAAGTGGACCTTTAATACAGTGGTGTCTCCAAACCTTGAATATGGGGGGGGAGAAATAATTAAATTTAATATTTATGATTTATAAGAAAAAAAATGGACATATTTCGTACAATGAGTGGACCATTGTTATGGATGAGAAGTTGGGAAGGTAGGATATTAAGGGAAATTGAATGTATAACTGTAGGTACTTAAGCAAATTTATATCATTGGCAACAAAAAAAGATTCTGAGTGCAGCTCGGTTAATAGTATTGCTCAGAGACGTCTTCGGGTCAATTCAATGGGGGTAATTTTTTATCATGATTATTTGACTATTTTGAAGAAACATGGATTGGTAAAATGGACAGAAACGGGAAAAGGAAAAATCAAAAATGTTCACGTACAATTTGGAATTGCTGTGCTAATGAATATATAACCATCTAAAAATTAATAATTCGGTAGAAAAATGGCAAAATGGATTTTCATCTATATTAAATGCTATTCACCCAAATATTTGGAAATTTTCAAGAGCCCTACAAAAAGAAGAAAAGCTAAACCGTCTGAAAATGGTTCAATATTCTACTAGAGCAGAAGCCAGAAACCCCTGGAAAACGGAAAATATATAATAACACGGCTAAGAGAATAAATAAAATATACAGAACATTTAATAGTAAAACATATGATGAATATATATCAGGGATAGCTCATAATTTGTAATTATTTATTCTTTTTAATCCTTTCACTGCCGCCGACGTACTATTACGTTCTTGTCATTCAAATGATTTCGGAATACTTTATCAGTATATCAAATTGTTCATTATCCGAAGAAAACAATAACGAATTTAACGACACTAAGAAGAACTCGTTTCTACTTTCATTTATTTGGTTTCTATGATGATTTTAAATTTATATTTAAAGTAGTGCATCCCAAACTGTGAAAGAAAATTATTGAGTGCAGTGTGACGCGTTATCAACAATTACATAACGGCCGCTAGCAGCTAGTTACAATCTATGGCAATTATAAATAGACTATAATATTAATGTTTATTGCTTTATTGTTGATATTTATTTGGTATTATTATTATAAAGTGTGATTCTAAGATAATCATGATAACTTTTCTTACAAAGTTTGTACACAAGTACGATTTTAAGAGTTTTTTTTGCTAAAACAAAATATAAAATACTTTCGGACGCTCAAATTGCTGAAAGTCTTGATGAAGTGTTACGAGACATTGATTCGGATGATGATTTTCTTGATTTCATTAACTTTGTTGAAGAAGATAATTTAGAAGGTAGGTGTTTTATTTGTCTTACATTATTATTTTTTACACAACATACTAGGTATTATTTATTTATTTATTATCCAAATAAGCAAACGTTACCTACACAACAAGCAATAATATTCCAATATTTTTTTTATTAGATTTACAATTCAACAATTTGGATGATGGTCCTCAAAATATACCTATTGTGCACAATAATGTAATGTAACAAAAAAAAAAAATTAACCTTGCATACAAAATTTGAAATGGAAGAGAAATGGAAACTTTACACCAAAAGTTTATGATTTTGATGCTTTGAAAGTACCTACCTAACATATTTATATAATATTTTGTATTACTTATGTTTTTTTTCTTTAGATTGGTGTAAAAAAAGCCGTACTTGAATTACAATAACAATCAAATTTTTTAGATTTTTTTGAGGCATTTGTTACTCCTAGTTTATTAGGAAAGGTTGCTTTTAAGACAAATCCTTACTGCCAACAAATTGACGATGCAACACCTGGTTCTAGGTAAATAATTTTTAAAGTTTTTTTGTGTATATTTTATGGATATCATTATCCAAAGAATATGTTTTGCATTTATTATACAATTATAATAAATATATATATTATAATTATAAACTGTAATATAATTATCTGGCTGTAACTATATTATAATTTATAGTTTTAATTTGATATATTATTATATTTTTTCAAAATATTTCTTGGAAAGCATATTATGTAATATTATAAGTTACATATTATTCAAGTTATTACAAAAAATATTATATTTTATTAGAGTCAATTAATGGGTGGATACTGATTGTGAAGAAATATTTGTGTTCTTAGCAATAACAATGCTTATGGCCAGGAATAAAAAATTAGAATTAGCAGACTACTGGTTCATGGACCTTGTATTATATCAACTAATATTTGGGAAACACTTGAGTCTCAATAGGTACCAGATTTTACTGCAAATTCTTCATTTCAGTCATAATGAAGATCAAGTATAGAGAGACAGACTTGCAAAAGTTTGTATGCCTTTGAAGGAAATAACTAAAAATTTCAAAGAAGCTATGATTCCTTTTGAAAAATTAGATATTAATGAAAGTTTAGTACTTTGGAAAGGGCGACTATCATTTAAACAATTCATCAAAACCAAAAGGCATCATTTTGGCATTAAATATTTATTTTATGTGATGTCGAAACAGATTTTATTCTAGACATCATAGTTTATAATGGAAGTATAACAGAATATAAAAAATTATTATTTAAACATATTTATACATTTATTTTAACATTATTTTAGTTTTCACACACATTATTTTTGTTGACACATTATTATTTTTGCAAATTATACATATTATATTTAAAACGACCAATATTTATTATTATTATATTATTCTTTAACCAGTAATCACTTGTTGCAATGAAAATATTCCGTGACCAATTTTCCAAACAACCAATTTCATACTGCCAATTGACTGCATCCCACTTTATAAAGGTCATATTTGGATTTTCCTGGCGGTTTTCCCAATAAAAAAGAAAAAGTGGAAAAAACTGTAAAAAAACGAGAAATTTATGAAAATAATGCTTTTGTTATTTGTTCAAATTTGTTATTTGTTATAATTCAGTTAAAAATATTCGTAGTGACTTGAAATTTGTAAAGAAAAATTATATTTGCCTTTTCTAAACATTGTAAAATTTTCAATAAATTTAAGCCATTTTTGAGTTATTTATAAACATTTTAATTTTTTTTTTGACATATGTGTATTGTTGATTTAAGAACGACGATAAAGTCAGAATTGAGAAACTGAAGTTTCAGAATTATAGCTTTTTGAAGTTCTGATATTATACGGACATTATATGTTATGTTAAATAAATATATTTTATTTTTTAAAGAATGTTTGTCATAGTCTAATGGTTATACATAACTGGGAACCAAAAATGCATTTGTTTTTTCCTTGTTTAGGTAAAAGAAAAAAAAATTCAAAACATTTATTTTCGAAAACATGGGTTTGAACTCATGAACACTAAGATGAAATTAGGTATGTGTAACTATTCAGTTATGACAAACATGCATTATTGAAGACTGGAAGACAATATTTAGTTATTTAACATAACATAATATCCACATAATATCAGGACTTAAAAAAGCTATAATTTCGAAACTTAGTCAGTTCGCTCAACTCTGACTTCACCATCATCCTTAAATTGGCAATTAACATATATTCAAAAAAAAAAAAATTAGATTTGTTCCATGTAACTTTTTACTCAACGATTTTTGTCAAAATACCTTTTAAAAAAAATACTGCATTAAACCCAAATTTTCTTTTTTTAACCACTAAGTAAGACTTAATGAACTTCCTATTAAATTTCTGGTAAGTCTAACAATCTCACCACAGAGTACAGTACCTACTGAATAAAATTCGCAAAATTAAAATGTCTATAAATACCTAAAAATGACTTAAATTTTCTGAAAATTTAACCACATTTAGAACAGACAAATTTTTGTCTAAATTTTATGTCTACGAATATTTTTAACTGAATTCTAACAAAATTGAAAAATAATTAAACCATTATTTTCGTAAATTTCCCATTTTTCTTAAGTTTTATCTTGGTTTTTCCAAAATATTAGGAAAGCCGCTAGGAAAATCAAAAAATGACCTCCCAAAAGTACTATCTGGACCACATTTCTTTTCAGAAATATATCTGAGTAAGATTTCTAGTCAAATTTTTGTACACAGTAAAAAAAAAAATTTTAAAAATAAACATCTTAGTAAATTCAATACATTCTTCACTACACTCAGAATTTAAAAAGTTAAAAACGTTTCACTCAATTTGGGACCTAAATAGAGAAAAATGTGACATAATTATAAAATAAGTAAGTAATAAAAAGTGATGTGAGATTAGTATCATAACACACAAAGAGCAATAATTATTACCTAAATCAGATTTTTAAAAAAATATTTTTCTTTATTAGGTATCTTCATTGTCATCACATGGCTGTTAACACACATTCATCTACGGATCGCTCTTCATTTTCTATACAGTATTCACTCATTCATGCTAAATAATAAGTTGTGTAAAATTTAATGTATGCAAATTATAAATATACATACTATATTATTATAGTTAAATATTCTTATAACTTATACAATTCTTGAGTAAAAATTTTTCCCTGCTAAACTTAAAGGATTTTAAAGTATCTAGATACCTAGATTAAGTATTTATTATTTTTGTGAATAATAATAATTATATTTATTATTCATATACTTAACATTTTGTTGACAAATACTACAATTATAGCTAACTGGGTTTCTCTGAACGATGTTTTAGTTTTCAATTAACAAATTAATATAATTTGCATTCAATGCAAATACGCAATTTGTTGAATTACAATAGTAGTAGCATAGCACATATTATATTTTATAATTTTATTATGATAATATATATTACATATATAAATATATATAATGATAATTTATAATATAAATAAATAATACTTACTATATTATTAAATAGTAGATATTTAAATATTACAAGTAAATAATATAATGTAGAAATATTCGTGTCTCAGGATTGTGTGTTGTAATACTCGTATTACGTAAAAGTGAATTATTCACAGGGAATCGATTATTGACTATAATATTGTAAATTAAAAATTTTAATGGCATAATCGAATAAAAAAATATAATACGTATACAATTTGTTTTTATTAAAAGTAGACAAGGTCCAAGAGGCCTTTCACAGTTGCGACTCTTGTGCATTTATTCCACTCTTCATCTGGGCCAGTTCGCCACTAGAAATGGGAAGTATGCATAGTATTATAAAAATGAATTCCACATTAGTAAAAATATATTGATATTATAGTTTTTTATTGCTTCAATTCCAGTTTTTAGAATATTGTTTGTTCATTCAAATTTTATTTTCCACAATTTAAATTCAGAAATTTAATTATTCACATTCAAACTAAGCAAATCAAATTCAATTAATTTTTTGAATGATATTTTTTCATTAGAAGGAAAATAAATGTTGAAATTCAATAAAATATGACATGTGTATTGTGTATAAAATAAATAATGATAGCTTGAATTTTAATAATATAGTTGGACACTCATTTTTTATCTGAATGATTCATTTTTAATGTTATAGTACTATAAATTGTAATTCAAATTAATAATAATTACTACAATAATTTAACATATCTTCAAAAATTTTAGCATGAGTAAAAATCTTCCTTCTAATCTTTATATATATAAAAATGAATCCCCATTTTCCTTGGTCATTGCATCACTTGAGAACGGCTTTGCCAATTTCAATGGAGATTTTTGTAAAATGTTCCCCATCGTCCAAAGAAGGTTAATAGGTATTGAAATTCATCCTCTATTGAATACCATCCCCTAAATCCAGGTTATAAGTAATTTTAGTTCAGAAATTAAAATTTTTTTTTTGAATTGGAGGTGGTAACATGGATAACAAAAAAATGAAATCCATGTACTGGTGTGGTGGTAATTATGAACTATTTATTCATTTCTTAGTGTACAGTCTATTCTATCTGAACATTTATCCAGTTTTGATTTTGTTGAGTGAGTTTTTTGAGAAGTGTTTGTTCATTGCAGTTCAGCGCAATTTGGTTCAACAAAATGTCACCAATTAGATGTACCAACCAGAGGTTGCAGAGGTTACGATTTGAGAGGAATGTGTGGTGGTGATGAAATAAATGCTAAATGATAATATATTTTCTTTATTTTATGGTTACTATTGGTTTCAGATAAAAATAATAGTATATTGGTTACTATTGGTTAATCGGACATGTTTTTTAATTTGTAATATTTGTTTTCAATAATATATTTAGTACAAATTGTAATGATGACTGATATTTGACCTCGATACCATTGCATTAGTATTATAAACGTTGTCTTTATATACTCTATAGACAAAAATGTAAAAGGTTGATCAAAACTTATTTATGGTAATTAATAACGCACTAGATTGAAAATAAAATCTATAAAAAAACTGTCTGCTTAAATGTATGGTTCTTACTGGCTGTGGAGCTGGGAAATGGTCTTACCAATGATATCAACCAATCTATTATTCCAGTTTAAATAGCTCAAATTTTCCGTGAAACTATGTTTTTCTACGACCATAAATAAGGCACAAGGTCAAATATTAAATGTTGCTGGTTTAAAGTTTAGACCTAACTGTTCAATGTTTTTCCTATGGTCAATTGTATGTAGGTCTATCACGTGTCACATGCAAAAAAAAAATTACTGGCCCCAAAAGGCGAGATACTTAACGTGGTGTATCCAGAAATATTTAATGCTTAAGGCAAACAGTAATTTAAAATTTAAAAATATATGCTATAACAGTATACTTTTAGTTTGCCGAAGGTGGACTACCCACTTTCCACTTTCCACTGTCAAAACCAAAAAGGAATATGGGTAAAAAGATAATAAAATTTGGCACGGGCAAGGCCGGGCGGGACAGCTAGTTGTTACATAAAAAAAAACTTAGGCAATATATAAATATTATAGTTATAGTCGTTATAGTAGTCGTCAACACTTGAATTGGAACGTTGATTTGCTAGATTTACTTGTCTTTCAGTTAATTTTTTATTACTCAAGTCAATATCTATAATTAGATATCTACTTATTTTCTATTTTCTATTACATGGCACGTTTGTTTTTAAAATCGCAACGTCTTAATCACGTTCGAAACGCGTAGTGTATAACCAGTTTAAAGTGAAAATTACCATTTATTTTGATATCAACTATTAAGAATATTGATTACTTGATTTCTGGTAGAAAGAGGTTCACAAACACATACAAAAAAAAAAGCACAGATCAAAGTTAAACCAATAGATAGACCCTCCTCACTATACGCAACGAATCAAAAATACTTATAAAACTCCCAAAAATATTATTACCAAAACACATCTTATATTTACCCTATACATCCCATTTACGATACATAGATGGCTACATAGTACTTAAACCTACACTTATACTTATTTATAGTGGCGGAGCTGATCATGATTTTAAATAAATTACTTTTAAAAATCTTTTAAATCTTGATTTACGATTTTAAAAATTTGTGTAAGAAGGATATTGAATTCAATTTAAAAGTTCTGGGGACGGGTGAAGTTAGAAGGTAGGATGCATATTGATATTTAGTTTGTATCTGTATTCAATAATGAATTATTGCTTACGAATTTTAAAATTAAAAGTGTTAGGATAAGTACTAATTTAATGTATAAGGAGTCGGTTAAAGATTAAAAAAATGTTAGGAAAAATAAAGCTTAAACGATTTTATAATGATTTAAAAAACAGTAATGGTAATAGTAATTTGTTTAAAATCTCGGCAAAAATCGATGGTTCGTGATAAATAGATCACTCTGTATATTACACCAGTATTTTTCGTGTCTCGAAATAAAATTAAGTAGGTTTGACTTTTGGCGTGGTGAGAGGGTGAGTGTTTACTCATATTATAAAATTACTATTCTCGTCGTGTTGGCTACGGTGCACTACTACATCGGCATCACTCGAGTATTGATCTGTGCTCCCCTAAGTTCTAACTTATATCGTTGTCAAGGCAACGGACTAACTACCTTACAATATAACATTCGATCGATTTTTTTCGGGAAAGGTCAACGTTACTGCGCAACAATATTTTGTTCCAATCGCGAGTTATTCAATCGAGCTTGACACTCAGCAAGGTTGCCAACATCTGGTTACATAAAGATGCTTGCTCGCAATTACCGATTACGTACAAACTTTTTAGCTTTTACCGTTCTGTATAAAAATGGTGTTTTCGATTTTTCAATTTCTTTTTTTGTTTTATAAAATCCGATTTTAAAATTATAATACTATACATAATAAATATTGTAATATGTATAATATGTATATCGTCTCCAAGCACGTAGCAAGGATTTTTATTAGGTGGGGGGAGGGGCTAACATAAAATTGTTTGCCAACTACCAATAATTGTCTCGGAATAATAAATTAAAAAGTAATCGGTAGAAAATCGTACCATTTGATTTTTTTTTTGAGAAGCTTAAATTTCAGGAGGGTGTCTAAACCCTATGGACCCCTCCCATGGCTACTTGCATGATCGTATCTCAAATATTAAAATACCTACAACAACTAGCCAATTATTGATTCGACCGAATTATTTACATCATAGTTAATATTATTAAATATGTTTTGTGCTTCGTTTGTTTCGGCTGTAACAATACCAGGGGATAACGTAGAAACAAATGTCCTTTTTTTATCGCTTATAGTATACAATTTCGAGATTATTGTACAAATTATGATTAGATACCTAAACATAAAATTGGGGATGTAGTTAAACCTCCTACTCTTATTTGTACTGGACAATACAATACCTGCGTTACCTGTATAAAGACATTGTATTCGTATTATTATTTTAAGGGGTTCTGAAATAAAAAATGGAATATTTCGTCAACGGATTGATGGAAAATACAAATTTAAACACCAACATTTAATTTAACTACTACTCTATCTATTTATGGATTTTTTAATATAGATTGCCATTTTAAAATAAAAAGTAGACAGTACTTTCACACTCAAAAATTAGGATGACAAAAATAACATACATGTATAATTGCAGAGCTGCTTATTTCTAAAATTGTCTACAAAACAAATGTCGAACATTTTTTATATTTTCCGAGATAATGAGTGTCTTATGATAAATTGATCACTCTGCATATATACCTATTGGTATTAATTATTATTCATTTATACCACTACAGTGAAACCTCTAAATACCGGACACTCGGTCGCTGAAATTTTGTCCGCTATTCAGATGTGTCCGTTATTTAGTGGGATAAATTGTATTTGAATTTAATTAATTAAATTAAATTAAATTAAATAAATAAATAAAATACAATTTTTACATTAATTAAATATGTACTTTTTAATTTTACATTTCATCGACGCTATAATATTATGTTAACGACTGGATGTATTATATAAGATATACGTCACTTACAATATAATAATGTACATACATATAGTAATAAAGGATAACTTAGTATTGTAGATTTTTATTTAGGTAGGTATTCTACAATTCTTCAGTAAATAGGTACGTAAATCGTAAATTATTTCAGTCACTACGGGTCTGACAAGACCCATTACTTTTGTGTCGTCATAAGTCTCTTTAAACTAATTTTAAGGATTTTTGAAAATTCAACCCTTAAGTGGGTAAAATAGGGGGTTTTAGGAATATTTGGTGTGAAAATCTAATTGCTTATTTATTTATATTTGTTTATTCAAGGGTTACATTGTTGATATTGATAGGTATGATAATTTGGTTGTTACGGACAAGAAAACTATTATTATTTCTATTATTTACACTTTTAAAATTTCATAATAGAACACTTTTAGTGTTCATCATATTTGTTATATTATATTCAACTGTACAAATATAATAATAAACATTAATTTTTAAAATTTGATTTATTATTATTAAAACAATTACATAATATTATACAGCTTATTATATAATATTTATGCATTGAAAATAAATTATTAAATATTTTGGTAAAACACGCATGCATACACACACACACAAACACACAAACACACATTTCCTACTAGGGAACAAAAATAATCAGAAATGTATACACACAAATATTTAAATTGAATGCATTAACACACTGAATTCTAATGTCTAACTATGTAATTGAAAACATAGCAAACAAAAATCAATTTTGTTTCATTACACACACAAACAAATTGTCTTCATTTATATATTACCTAAGCTACATATAAAAATTTTTATGGAATAATTTATTTTGTTTAAAGAGGTAGGGTAAATGTAGAGGTTTAATCTTTCTTTTTGTTGTTGGCACTACCGGAACTATTTAAGGGCACTAATGTTACTTCCAACCCGCCCATTCGCAAAGCATCAACCAGCCAGCGGCGTTGTCTTTCCTCCTGTTCTCTTTCCTGTCTATGTTCTTCAGTTTCAAATACAAGCATGTGTTGTTGACGCTGGGTCTGGCTAATAATTTGATTTATCATCGCCAGTTGCCTAGGTCGATGATTGGTCTGCTGTTGTGGCTGTTGCTGAGGTTGTTTAGGTTTCACATGTTTCTGCGAGACTGGATATATACCAACATGTGGTCTGTCGACTTGTGGTCGGTCTGCTGTAGTATAGATATTACGGCGTTTTGTTGGTGGAGCACCATCTGAATCCGATGTTGATGCTGTAGTGGTAGTATTTGTGGCTGCCTCATTAGTGGCTGATGACACTTCGTCAGAATCAGAATCGTCTGAATCCTCATCGTCAGTTGATGATGAATAGTTCATATTTGTAACAGCTGTTGCTCCACCAGCTCCATTTTGTCGCCCATGGCATTTCTTTTTGAGCTTTTTGCGCCGAAGACGTTTCAATCGGTCTTCATGGCTACCACTTAAGCGTTCCAAGTGGCGCAGACGACGGCGCACTCGATTCCATCTAAACGACATCCATGATGCAGGATAAGAAGGCCAACCTTTGAGTTTAGGAGCTGCAAGCATTTAGTTTGTATAAAATATTGTATAAATATATTTTACTAACTAACTCTAGTTTTTTTTTTATTCACAGTATGAGAAGAACTCACTATGCTTATAAACGCGGTATATACCTTATATATTTTTGTTTTGTTTTGACCATAACAATATCATGTCTACTAATCTCAATATTATCAGGCTTTAGAGACTTTGTATAATTATTTATTAATTATAATAATTAATTTGTGAAACCATTTAAACTTAATAATGAATAATATAAATTCAAAAGAATAGATACACCAATGAGTTCAACGTTTCTCATACAAAGGTTGGTTAACATCAAGCATCATACTTCAGATCACAGGTAAACAAATATCGATCAACTGACCAAGTATCGCTTCTATATTATACATTTATATTATTCAAAACATACTTTCTGTGTTCCTAAATTTATCTGTGATGATAGATGACATATAAGCTGGAGAGTTATAGGGTGGTAATATGGAGAGGACCTAGTTTAAACTGTATATGTTCCGAAAGTGAAGCCAGCCAGTTCCGACAAGTCAGCACTTAATTAAACTATTGGCTTCTAGACAGTGTGCAATTTCTAACCTTAAATGTATTTTTTGTAAGTTTTTTTATTTTATACAATTGAAAAATAATTAAATTACTTAAACCATATTGTAATTGAGCCTTGGTGTTTAAATAAATAATAATCTTGTACAATATTGTATAATAGTACAATTATTCCATTGTACAATATGCTGCATAGTGTTAAATATTATAAATCATAAGATAGTATAATAGTTGTATTTATTGGCCACCTTATTGTACCAATGTTGTCTGGTTGGCTATTAATCACATGTTTGTCTATTAGTGTTACCCAAGAATCCAACTGAATTTAGTGCTGTTTGGATGGAAATGTTTAATTTAAATGCAAATCTATCATGATCTAGATAATTATTTGATTAATTTTTAAACATTATTACTCGAATAATTATTGTTTATTTTATTTGGTTAAACATTGGTTGGTAATTTAAAATATCTAAATATTAAAATATTGGTTGGTCTTGTATTATTAAATTACACTATTGTACATTTTATATTGTTTCAATTAAATGCAAAAAACAAGAAAAGTATTGTACCCCAGCAGTAGTTTTGTATAAAGCTCAAAATTATGTTTGAAAATTATTCGAATACATTTTATTTCAATAATCAGTTTTGAATGATTAATAAAAATTCACCTGAATAACAATACATTTAAATAAAATTTTATTTAAATAATGTACAATACTGATAACCAATTAAGGAGAGAACCTAATAATTTAAAATCTTATTTTGTAACTACAACCTCACCTACAAAAACTGAACAAATTGTCACTTCTGATAATAAAACAATACAAATATCTGGAAGGTTAAATATATTAATATCTTGGATAGCACACTAATAAACATGAAAAAACAGTTTTTATCTGAAAGCTTACAAATGGTAAAAGCTAGATAGTTTCAAAAAGCTGAGCTTTGTTAAAAGTTCATTTTTCATAATATACCAGAACAAAATAATAAGAATTTTCAAAAAAATATATAATTTAGGTAGTATACAAACAAAAATATTATTTGTCTTTTTGTAGAAACTATGTAACATTTATATTGTGATACTTAAATCAGAAATAATGGTTGCAAAAACTGTGTTCTTCATATTAATAAGAATAAAGATGTTGATTTAGAAGATTCGAAGAAGAAATTATTATCAGATAAATCTGTTTGTCGGAATTTATATACTCTGTTACAAGTGGCTTTCACAGTTCTTGTTTCAGTTCAGTTCAGCTACAAATGAACATTCATTTTCTGCAATACAAACAATTATCCAGCCCTCACAATTAAAAATTGAAAATGCACTTATAGGCTACAAGCTTATTCTTATATAATATTACAAAGTTATGTTTGTGTAGATTATTAAAACAAATCTTGATCAAAAATATCTCGTAGGCTGTGGTTTCCAATTCTGAATAATGTAGTACAGACAGAACTTTTCAGGCTAAACCAATGCCTGCTGAAGGAAATAAAAACCTGCCTCAATATAAAAACCGGGTAATTTAGATATTCATTTTATTTGAATTTATAATAAATTAATTTAAAGGACAATTGTGGATAGTAATTTATTGAGTTGTAAGATAACTTCAATGTAGATCTTAAATAGTGGTCTTTGAAAGTCTGATAAGAACTGGTGGCCACTATCTTCTTTTATATGAGACTTTTTATAGGAGCATAAGCGTTGAGCGCATTGCTTATTATTCAATTAAAAATTTCTGATATCACTGGCTATGTTAAAAAGGTGTTTTGAGTTACTTTTGATTATTTTTTTTCTATAATTTTTATATGCCAATTCCTCTATATTTGATAACATTTTTTATTCCACAACAAATATCAAAAATGATGTTCTTTTATTATTTCACGGTGTCTCGATGCTATCACAAAACAAATTAGAAACATATTCAAATATTTAAATAATATATAAATGATACATATTGATTTAAAAATAATTATCATTTAGTATGGATTTTATAATAGGAGTGGCCAACATGAATAAAAATATATTAATATTTAGTAAAAAATTTTCAAAAAATGTTTTGAAATGAACTAAAACTTTTTATAGAAGATAATTTTCATCATATCATGTTTAAGTGTTTAAGTAGTGTTTAATATTATCAAATATACCAATTAATTATAACGATTATGTACTCAAACATGAATTTCTATAAACTGATTTTGAGACTTAAAGGTTTTAAAGCTTCCATTCAGATTTTTGAAAATCCATTTTTGATAATGTCATAGAACACCAGTCTCTAATATCCTATCCTAGTAATGGCGTTAATAGGAATGCCAGAAATATGGTTTGGACAAAATTTGTATAGTTATGCAACCTCATCCTAGTGTAAAAATAACGTAGATTTCAAAATAGCAAATGAAATTGTTAAGCAGTTTAAAAACAATTGTCCCCCTTTATTGACATTTTGGAAGCATGTTTCTATTTTAAAATGCCCAAATTTTAAAAATAGTGCTCAAAATGAATGTGTATTTTTGAATTGAAATATTTTTATGAATCCCTTTATTCAACAATCAAAATATTGTTCAAATTTAACTGATGATTAGAGTTCCGATGTTTATGACTTTGCAAATTTTTTTAGCGAATTATACTCGAATATGATACAAATTTGATTCATTAAGTTTAGATTTCAAATATATTTCGCGTATACTTGCATATTTGACATTTTCAAGCATTGCATATGTAATTTTTTAAAAAATGTATATATTTAATACATGTACGATTAAAGAGTATATAAATTATTTTAAATTAATTTAAACACCTTCTTTGCATATATTTGTTAAAAAATAGGTATATTTGATACATTATTCTGTTGAAAATAAATAAAATAAAATAATTTAAAAAAAATATAATTGCATATTTTAAAGAAATTTTGGTCATTAATATCCAAGCTTTACTGATGATCATCTCTCAGAATAACTCATAACTACTCTTATATCAATGCAACCAGATCTTAAGAAACTTACAAAAAAAAAAAAATACCACACAACCGAATTTAGCTTAATGTTTATATTTTATTCTTTATTTATATATCATATTTATTTATTATATTTTTGTTATTTATTTATCTGTATTCCACAATTTATATACGATAAAAACATTATTTTTACTTTTATAAATGTATACCAAACAAATTAAAATTCATAATAATAATAAATAAATTTTGTTTTTGTAAATAAGACATGAGTTGCAAGTTGGCCACCCCTGACATAAAATAATATAATAATGTATACACATACCCATATGGTTGACTAACACATTAGTGTTTGGCTTATGATTTTGTTGTGCATTAAAAGGCTCCAAAAGAAGTTCAGCCGGATAATCATAGGTATCTCGGCAAAAAAGTACACGAGTTGTACTCAAAGTGTCAACTCCTCGAGATGTAGATGATGCAATCCTTTTAGTATCCTTGTTCATGCTGACCTTATCTTTTTCAGTGAGTTGCTCTTCGCATTTACGTTGTAATTGAGCCCTATATCGACAGTACCGTGAGTAGCTCATGACCACCAATCGTTGTTTACCGCTATTGAGTTTAGTTTCCTTATTGTTGCATTGATAGTTGCGACGACGACGTTTACAACAATAGCAATAGCATTTTCCATCATTGGCACCACTCTTTTCATCTACTGTACATAAAAAATAATGCATATTATTATATATAGGTATATATACATATTATATAGGTATAAGTGGAACTAAATAGCAATAAATATTTACATGATACAAAATGTAATAAAGAGGAAAAGGAGCACCTAAGGAATAAATACCTTTGTTTATAGTTGGCTTTATGTCATTTTCGCGTCCAATGGTTTTCAAAATGCAATCGGGCCGGTGTTGACGATCAATATGCCGATAACAGTGTTTCGTGTGTCTGGCGTAATTTTTATGAATTTTGGCAGCAGCCAAAGGAACATCTTCCGCTTCTACTGCTTCGTCGATAACTGATTTCGTAAAATATTTCTCTTTTATAGTGTTTTCATAAGTATCACCACTTTTCTGTTCTTCTTGCTCCAATATTTTAATGTTTGGTTTTCGATCTTTAATATTCGTACTGTCACTCTCGGATTCCAATGATTCGTCATCATCGGACTGTGCGTCGTTGTCGTCATCATCGTTCATCAGTCCACCACGAACCCATTCCACAAAATCTTCGGCTCGCAAAACTAATCCCGAACAACCAGATGGGAGTGTTCCAGACGAATGACTTCCACTTCCATAACCGTAATCGTCAACACCGCCACCGTTGTAAATAGCCCCTACTCCGTTACCGCCGTTGACAAACATATTGCCTGGCCACCTGTCCACTCCTCCACCAGTTCCCCAAGGGTTGATTTCCAACACCTCATCTTCGCCGTGTACACCACTAAGTCGACCAGTAGCCGTCTGGTCGGGCATTACGTACAATCGAACGCTGCAAAGTAAGTTTCCGTGCGTGTAGTGGTCAACTGAAGTCGATAGGGCAGGCTTCACCACGGAGGTAGAATGTGCAGATAACTGACCGCGGTGATTCGACGAATGCTGTAAGGGATTTTGATCAGACGTCGGCACTGTATAAGATTCTGTGGCTTCGAGTTTCTTTGCTGACGGTTGACGCGTACGCCTGGGTAGCATGCGACGTCGAGGAACTGCCGAATTATTGTTTCCAACGCCATCATCATCGTCTGAACTGGCCGTCACACCGACGTGTCTATTATTATTTCTGTTTTTCATCGCATTGATACTGCTACCGTTCGACGTTGTTATACCTGCACATTTTTTACCTGATGAAGATGTCGTAATTTTGTTGGCCGTTACCACACTGTCGTCACGCCACAATAGCTCTAGTTCACCTATGCACACAGATTGTTGATAGTGATGTTGTTCTGCTGTTTTTGATGAGGCCAATTTTGAAGAATGCTTTTGATTACGTTGGCGCTGTTGTAATTGTTGCCGTTCGTCGGTACTGCTGTTCTTTTTGCTATACCACGGGCGGACAGCATAGAAATGGTTCATACGTATGACGGACCACCCGGAACGGGCTGTCGGTGACGAAGAGCACGATGACGACGACGAGTTATCGTCACAAGAACACAAATCGTTACAACAACATTTCCTTCTTGTCACATCGCCGCGTTTTCGATATGCCAATGCACCGTAAAAAGTATAAGGCCCGTGCGCTACAAGTGGCTCTCCCAACAGACGAATAGTATTCATTTTTTCTTTTTTTATCGACGGGGTCACCCTATGTTTTTTCTTATTTTTGTTGTTGATTTTGTAGTGATGATCCAGTAGCTTGTAGTCTTTTTGCTGTTTTTCCATAGCCACATCAGCTGGAGCAGAACCTGTTTTGAATTCATCATCCGAGTTGCTCATTGAGTCTTTGTATTTTATAATTCCGACGACACTGTTTTAACTTCAACTTTACCTAAATAAAAACAAACAATAATATTAAGTTACTATTATTATCTATAGAGTCAATATGGTGGGAGTTTCATAATATTTGACGATTTTTATCTAGTATGGACGAAGATTCCTTGAACGAATTACTTTTATTATGTTTAGGTTTTATAAAATTGTATTTGGTATTATGTAAAATAAAATTATAGGAATATAAAATATTATACAATATTCCTTTACGATTTTGTCATTTGTGCGAATACAGTATGTAAATTTTAGACATTGTTTGAATAAAATTTAGAACCACACATAAATATTTCAATAACATATATTCTATTATTAAAGGAAAATAAACTTGACATGAGCAACTGAGCTGCTAGATTCAAATTTTTACAATTTTTTTTGCATTTTAAAAATAAACGTTACAAAATAATAAATAAATAAATACAATAATTATAAATTATAATAAAATACTAGAATTATATTCAGTACCTACTTTAGAAAAAAGGGGGTGAAATTTAGACATAATAATGGTAGGAGTGGTGGTTGAAGTTTAAAAACACAAAAAGACACATCCTTGATGCCATCGCCATACATATAAAATTTTCATCCTTTTGACTTAATTTGGAGAACACATTCCTTCCACAACATGGTAAAATTCATATTGAAATTCAACCCAAATGTTATCAATTTCAACTGTCTATAAAATAACTTATATTTCCGAGTTAGAGTTTCTTTAGTCTAGAGGGAGCCGTTAAGTATAAAAAAAGTAGTGGGAAAAGGATAGACTTTTTTTTAGCATTTATTTATTTTTCTGTCACCCTTATTTTTTGGGATGAAACAACTATTTATTTTTTATTTTCAAATGGCAACCTATCGTATATTTCAAATTTCATAAATAAATGGAATATTAATTTCAACACATTTTTGTGTTAAAACTATTGATTAACTGTTGACGAGATATTCTACTTTTAAGTTTAGGTAAGGGGAGAGTAGTGGGACATTATTTGTGTGGCAATATAGCGCACGGCGTTTGAATAGTACTATAAATGGTTAATTTAATAAGGTTGGAGCTTGGTGCTATGTTGTATAAACATTTTAGATGTCAATATGGCTAATAGTGAACTAATAATGCAAATTTATTCCAGGATTCAAAAGAGACCGAGTCGCTCATCTCTCCACGTCGTCGACTAAATACCACCAGGATATTTTGCAGCAACCCGTTGTTTTTATTATCAAGCATCACATGTTATTTTTTCACATTTGCTTTTTTTTTTACATAATTTTTTAAATCTAAACAGGTTGATAAACAGTGGATTGTCAAACAGTCAACAATGTATTATTTGTTACGCTATGTATAATACCTGCACGGCTGCACTACATCGGCGTTCGCCGACACAGCGCTATCGATGAATTAGGTTACGGCGTAGGGATATGCGGTGGCGACCGGTTTTAGTCAACGACCAGAGAGCTCTCCTGGAATAGATTTTAGTAGTGGTTGGTCCGGTTTTAACATCTAAACGGTGGGTAGGTATTGTGTTTCTTTAATTGATTTAAAATAAATGAAATACGAATAAAACTCAAAGAACTTGGTTAATAGAAAATCATGGTTTTTATCGATTTAAACCATTACCAGTTTCTCAAAATCGATATCTTCCGAGATATTGATTAAAAAAGGCAGTGTGCTACTTGTTGTTCAAATAAAACCTCACATATACTAACTGTCTGTAGTAGATTTAACTGAAGTTTTTAAGACTTAGTAAATATATTAGTGTATTACCATAACTTAGTAATTTATCTTGATGTGTTATTGAAACTTACGTATTATTTTATTTAATGTAGATATGGAATATATTTAGTACGGTTATTTAGATAGATGCCGATAGCAAGATGAATGTAATCGTAATTGTTCTACATTTAATTAAAACAATTTTTTATAAAGTTAACTCAAAATTTGTTTTACGTAGGTGTATTAAAAAATGTGGTATTTCAATTTATAAATTAATTTTGTATGACTAAGTTCATTGACTTAAATTAGGGACGTACTCAAGGGGGATTTCGGGTCAGGATCCCCTTCCTATAAATATAATAAACCCTTCAGTAAATATGTGTGTAAGTGTGTGACACTGTGATACAGTGTATAACTATTATGAATATTAATCGTGGTATTAATAGTAATCAGTTATGAATTTAATTATAATTATAATTATTACCAGCAAACTGGTATTAATAGTAGGGCACGCAGGATTTTTTTTTTCACAGAGGCTATAGTTTTTATATTGTCAACAAAACTCAGACTTAATATTAAATGTAATCATAGTGGTCACTACGGAGGGGGGGGGGAGTAACAGATACCCCACCATTTTATCGAGGTTGCAGATTAACAGCTACGCTACCCTATGATTAATTTTTAATAAAACTAATTTTCTTGCTTTTTTTAAATAGTATTATGATCACACAAATGTAATAATTATACTATAGGCTGTATGATTTTACTTCAAATGACACCTATGCATGCAATGATAAGGGGGCTCAACTACTACTTTTTTGTTGATGAAAAGTATTTTTTCTATAAATGGTTGGTATGCAATTAGTTCATATGTCTGGGAACAATGTCATTATAATAAGCTGTGTTCCAATCTCAGTAGATAACCATAGTGCTGTGTGAATATTATGTTATGTAACTGATAATTTTGCAGTTAAGTAGGTAGACAATAGCTTTGATTTAATCAATAGTAACAGGCAGTAGAATAAATAAATAAATAATATTTTAAGTTTGAAAATCTTTTAATATCATATTTTTCTAAAGATTTAGGATTTTGGAACATTTAAGAGGTAGTCTTAAAATAAAAAAATTCTTATAATATATTCTGGTAAACACAGCACTTGTAATTTAAATTTAAAAAGTTTTAAATTTAGCTTAGGAGAACCTACAGTCCAACAGCCAACAATAAGATCGCTCAAGGGCAAGTAAAAGGGCTTGGGGTGTATTGCACTTACAATTCACAAAAAAGTGTTTAAAACATCAAAAAGACTCTAAATTATTAAATATAATTTTCTAACACTATACAAATGATTAATAAATAGTAATTTGGTTTAAATAAAATTGTATGTATTATAAAAAAAAAAAAACTTTGGATTAATACTTTGTGTAGCCTTTGACAATTGTATTTAATAATTTAGAGCCGCTATAGAGAAGGGACATTTAAACTCTCCTAGTATTTTTGATTTTTTAAATATTTTTAAATGATTCAGACCCTCAGGTTCTTCAGACCTTTTATGACATTTTCAAGTCATTATTGTTGATTTTAAGTGCAATAAGTTCAAAGTTAATAATGATGAATGAACCTCAACATTTTTAATTTCAGCAAAATATACCAATCTATTCAGTTTGTATTAAAAATTATTCTATTAATTATAATTTAACTTAATTTATTATACTTTTATAAATTTGTTAATTGTAGAAACTATATTTTTTTTATTTTAAAAACTCACTATAATTATTTATGCTATTTTAACAAAGATCATATTTTGTTAAAGTATACACTTTGCTTATTTTAAATTATATATAAATTTGTTCAACTACAAAATACCAGTTCTGTTATGAAAACATGTAATAGAGAGCTGTGGTATATTATAGCATACTAACATACAATGGTTTAATATGTAGGTGTTTGTTTTAGACTTACTATAAATTTCGCTAATTATGATACATAGTGTATGATGTAACATTGGATCAACTTGTGCAAGTATTGTACTTTTCATAGAAAAAATTTTGATTCCTTAATAAAATCATAGGCCTGATACATTTATTATGGTGACAGGGCAATAAAAACAAGAACCAATATGTATTATTTCTGAGCATTGATTTTAAATTAACATAATTTTCAATTACCCCACACCACCCTAAAAAGGAACAAAAAAATGAGATGCAAATTACAAATATAAGAAGGCAATATACTAACAACTTATATTATTAATGTACAAAGCAATAATTATTCTGATACCCAATTAATGAGTAAGAATTTTAAATAAATAAATATCAACTCTGTATAATGACTATAATGCAACATAAACCTATTTAAACAAAGGAAAAAATATAATTGTCATTTTAAGATATGAGAAATTTTAATTTAATCTAATAAGTGAAAACTTGCTGAATGAAAATTGATATTAAAATATTTATTATTTGACCAGACTAAATATGTAATTAAAACTAAATTATTGAGCTAACTAATTGATTTTAAGGTATAGTAGATGGTTTAATTTAAAAATATTCCAATATACTATATATAGGTTGTGAAATAAAGTAGGTACTTAATGGATGAATTTCATGGAATTTTGAACAAGTATTTGGCATTACTAATTACTAAATAGATAAAGTGTTTGTATGCTAGGCATAACAAGGAAATGTCTACAATTGCAATAGAAACTGTAATGATAATATTTCTATACATTTATTGTCTGTATCATCAATAAAAAAAAGATATCTACTTATTGTATTGATTTATTTTTATTTAATATTTTCTAAAAAATTTAAAATTAATACTGAGTTACATAAATAAGTGTACTTTACATAGTGTAGGTTCTGCTAAACAAATAATTAAGCCCTAAAGAAAATTCTATTGATTTTCAGTTCGATCGCTGAAAATTGGAAGTTGACATACACTACTTTGATATTCTGGTTTATTAATTTTGAACTAAACTGTATAGTTCAAAATTCTGATTCCATTGTCAATAATTACAGTTTAGAAATACATTCACCTACTTATAATTATTAGATATAACAATTGAGAAATATATTTAATTTTGTCAACTTTTATTTAATAAAACTACAAAAAGGATAAATATTTACCTATTTATTAAAAATAAAATGATAAGTACATTTTTTTATTTTATTAATTTATTAACTATACATAAATTAATAATTTAAAACTATTAAAAATTGTTAATCCATAATAGTTAATAGGTAACATAATAATAACAAAAAAAAATATATATATATTTTCATTTAATCCATGTTTATAGGGAATAGCAAATATTTTTTTTAAAATCTGAACACTTGTAATTAAAAATACACATAAACGATGATATCTATAAAATAAGAAATAGCCTAAAAGGTATTAACTATTATTTATGTAGGTACCTATGTACACAATATGTACAAAAACATCAGTCTTTAGCTTTACCGATCCATACACACAAAAGCTGAATACAATAAAATATATATAATTGACAGATAAATGATTGGGTACAGTAATATGATTTTTGGTATATTTTTTAATACAGATAAATCATATTATAAAAAATTATAAACAATGTTAAAAAATCGTAAAATCGTAATAATTAATTTACCTGGTATGTGTGTAGTTGTAGTAGTTTTCGTGTTAAACGCAGAACATTTGGTATTGATACAATATTGTAAATATACTGGCACGATAGTTAAGGCATTCCGAAATACCACTTATGTCTCCAAAACCGAATCGCTTGGGTTAGTTGATCAATAACCGCGTACTTTGGAAACGAACATATTTTAAGAAAGTTATTAAGTTTATCGAAAGAATATAATGTAATTGACAATTACAAAAAGTTCATTATATACGCCGTTCATTTAGTAATTTGCAAGTTATTTAATGTGAGGGAAATAATATCATTTAAAAGCATAAATGTTTTTTTTTTTTTTTGTTATCGGAAAAAAATGGTGTTTGTGTATATTATTATTTTAATAATAATTATAAATGTGCGCGTGCGCAAGCGTACTGTATACAAGAGTACGTGCGTAAGCGCATGTATTAGTTGGTGTATGTGTGTATGTGTTTGTGAGGTCGCACGCGTACGTGTATTTGTGTACGAGCGTCGAGCGGTGTGTGCACGATTGCGCAGCGCCCGCTGTGTCGGTAACCGTGAAGTCGGTACCACGGTAGCCACTGGGGCGCAGATGAGTGGGGCGATGGTCTAGCGGAAGAAAACGGGTGGTGGTGAAGTGCTTAATGCTTAGTGACGGTGGAACTGTGGAAGCTATGGCTGAGTGGTGAGTGGCGGAGACGGGAGAAATGAGAATTATTACTTTAGCCGAGTAGTTTGTTTGTGTACGTTACTCTGCTAGACTTTTATAATTCATATTTGTATTATTACTATATTCATCATAATATGTTTTAAAAGAGCATAAAAAAAAAAAATTAAAAAATAGTTCAATCGATTTTAATTGTTGATATTATGGATATTTGTTTATTAATTTTAATAATGAACATTGTTGGGAATGAACGCGTTCCTTTTCAAATAGAGGAACAAAGAACAGGAGAGTTCCTTTTTAAGAGGAACGTAAACACAAATTTCCGTTCTTCCAAACAAAAAACAATGAAACGTACTTACTTACGTTGTTTTAATTATAATATTGTCTAGACGATTTTTACTTTTTTAGTGTTGGTATTACTTCATTAGTTACTAAGAAACGATCGCTATGGCATAATATAATATTATTTCTCCATTTTTATTAGCGTACAAGGTGGTACATAATTATGATAATTTAAGCCATGCGGTTGTATACTTTGAAGTATTAGTTACTCAAGGACATATTATGACTATAACTGTGTTATATCTGATTACTATGATAAAACCAAATATAACGAAGACAAATCTGAGTTTTTCATCTTAAAAATAGACAGACAGATCGGAAACTAAAAATCGAATGGCAAAGAACTGAACTGTATAAAAAAAAAAAACTGAGAACTCTGTAGGTACACCCGACATATCTAGATGTCACACTAGACCGATCCCTAATATATAGTAGTAAATACCATTGTGAGAAAACTAAACAAAAAGTCGCTGAATAAGTAATATATTCCGAAGATTCACAGGCTCTATGTGGGGGGCAAATGGTGTCTTGGTGATGATTATTTAAAGCGGTGTAGCGGTCCTACTAGATTCAGGGATTTTGTATATATTATTAATATATATTTTATATTATTAATAATATATTATATATTATTAATAATATATTATATATTATGTATATATTTCCAAAGTAAATTAATCAATGATATTTTCAGATTGAGAATAAAAATAAATTATTTTGGACTACATTAGGTATTCTAAAAAAACAGGACACTTAAAGAACCAAGGTTAACAAGTTCCTTTTTTAAATAAGGAATGGAGAATAGGAACGAGAAACAAATTCCCTTTTAAAACACTGATAAAGAATACAATAGATAAGTATTTTAAGTTCAAAGTGAATACATTAATACTGCAATATTAATCAATATTATGACTAAAAGTCCAGTGTTGTTTTCATAAAAAAACCTATAGGGACATTAGGTATATACTCATTTTTTGTTAAATGTTGATCATTTTGAAGCATAATGAGGAATGTATTGGTTTTACAATATTTATTTTTTATTCTGTGAATAGCTTTTCAATCAGGAATTGTGCTCTGTATCAAGTGTAGAACCTTTACTAAAAGGAAATTTTAACTACTTGTATAAAAGAAACTGCGCTCTAAATCATTTTTCATTAGCAATGGTTTAGCATTGCATGGTTTACCCATTGTGGAAAGTATATCACTTTTTAAGCTATACCTACCTAAATATTTAGTACAATTTTTATTTACCATTATTTAAGTTAAACTATCCAATTAAGTATAATATTTTTAACAGATACCATAACTACTGTGATCATATAGTAAGTATAATGTTTTTAAAAAAATAAATATTTTTCAGGTAAGTAGCTACATTTATTAATATACAACTTTGTATAACAGTGTTTCCCAACCAGTGGTCTGTGAGCCTGACATAGGTGGATCGCGGTCCCATAGATTTTATCTTATTTTTTTGCTCCTTCATTTCAAAAAAAAGAAAAGAATTACGAAAAAATATAGTATCCATTGTATTTTTCCACTTTTAAAAGTGTTTATCAAAGTAATGAATATTATTATTATCATTATTATTATTACAGCCGATTAGTGTGTCTCAACTTTTATAAGTGTGCAGGTACCAAATGTTTATTACTCTGATAAAAGTATTTATTAAATACCATTAAATAATGATTTATTAAATATTATTATTGCGACCTATAATTGTTTACTGATTGTATAGTTTCTCAAATATTTAGTTATGAGATTAATCAAATTTTTCTGGTTTTATTTTTACTGAATATACAACTTCAATTGGATGAGCTTTCTCAAAAATTAATTTTCTTATGAACCGATATATAAATATTTACAATACAATATTTTGACATTATTTTTATTTTATACAATATGTTGGTATATCATGTGGTATTTCAGATAATATATTATTTTATTTTGTAATAAATCATACTTAATATCAATATAAACATGTGAATTATAGACTAAATTAATCTTAAGAGATAGATACTATGTTTCTAAATTTTGTTAGACTATTTTACACTTATATAAGTCCACATGTTGGTAATTTTATATATATTTTTTGATTTGTATATTTGTTTAAAATTATTATGTTTAGCAAATAAATTGTAGCTGTACATGTATAAAATGTTATTAGTGAAACAGAAATTGTTCCATTATTTTTACAATTTTGTTTCTCCTGAACAATTTTAAAAAGTGGACTTATGTGGTTGTTACAGGGAACTTTTCAATTGAAGTGGTCTGCGCCCTATTAAAAATTATTCAAACGGTCTGTGGTGGTAAAAAGGTAGAGAAACACTGTTCTATAATTAGAAATTTATCAAAATAAAATCAAAACATTATCAAATATTAAGAAATATGTACAAATAATTAGGTAGTGGAATACAAATAAATAAATTAGGTACAAGTTATCATTATTATTTATATAATAATAATAATTTTTTTTTATACATAATATGACTATTACTTAGTAACCATATTTTAATTATTAATTCAAAACAAGCATGCTTTGTAATACATTTTTCTGATTATATAATACAGTGTTCTTTTTTTCTAATAGAGTTGTTTAACAGTCAATGGTTTGTTATATAGCAGTCTATTTGGAGTTAACTTAGGTTTACTATAATATACACTACACTATAATATATACTAGGATATGCAAATATATTATGAAAAATTTAGGCTGATCAAGTGTAGTTAAACCATTATATATAGATTTTAGTTGTATCAATACACATTTAAAAATATGACTTATGTTTCTTTTCAATAAACTAATAACTACAAATAAATAATTGTACAGAAATATTATACTATACATCATATTATATTCATATTGTTATTTTTATTCATACATTTCAACATCTAGTCTAGAAACTAAACATTGATTAATATATCTGGTATCTTTAAAATAATTATTAAAATGTATTAAAATTTGGAGGCTTCTTAATACTAACAACTCCAGGTAAGTATTGTGTAGTGTTCATTGAGACTTGTAAACTTTTACTGAAGCTAAAACACATGTCCAATCAGAAACATCCACCACATACAGTAAACCAGTTAATGCTGCTTCACCTTTACAAATACAAATTAAATATATTTTATGCAAATAATTATTAGTTCTTAGAATAAGAATAATAATTACAAGTTTGCCAATAAATAATGCCCCATATTCATATTAGCCTCAGAAGTTCAAACGCCAGGACTAAATTTATATGCTTAGACACTATTCTGAACTGTTCCACATCACAACAACAATTGTTTTAAATAATATATATTTGTATGATCAATTAATAAATTCTAATACATGAATTTTAATAAGTCACATTTTTTAAAAAAATGTACCTTACTTTATCTATATATACTCTATTATATATAAATAAATAACCATAAGAAGTGGTTGAATAACACATTTTATATTATGACCTATGTACAATCTTCACCACCATTCACCAGTCATAGTTCTTTTTATATTATTACAATAACAATATAATTCAATGAATTATTAAAATAAACAATGTATCAAATGGCTGTCTAAATTGCTCAATTGTTAATTTATAAATAAATAAACTACTGTACTAAATAAATTAAAACTCACTTTTTTTTAAGAAGAACTTCTTCCAACTTCCTTAATTCGTGTCAACATTAGTGTTCCAGCAATTCCTCTTTGATGGCATATATTTCTAGTGCCAACTCATTCCATAAATTATGGGTGTAATCAGTTAATTTATTGTATGATGTGTATGGTTGATGTGTAACCAACTATTTATTATGTTAATCTGATGTCATCATGTAATTGGGTTAAATGAAAATTAATAAATAATAAATACATTGTATATACAGTTAAATATAATTTAAAAAAAAATTGAATTTAAATTTGTAGACAAATATGCATATACAAAATCATAGATTAATTAATGTATTGTCACTGTTACAAATAATTAATTTATAGACAGGAAAGAAACGAAAAAAATATTTTTAATTGGTATTAAATTAAGAGCAACTTTTATTTTTGGATTTGAACTTAAGCATTAGTAACCGGCGAGCACAATTTTTTTTTTCTTCAATTTCAGCAGGAGTGCAGTATCTTTTAGTTGACACAGCATTACCATTGTTCCTAAAAACAAACATATTATATACAATAATATAAAAATTACAATGAAAATAAAAAAAAAATTTAGATCAAATATTAATATTTAGTTATTACTTTGAGTTATTTGATATTAATGAGTTATTAATATCATTGCTTGGTTTTAAACTTGTTGGTTGTAACTGTCTTTTAACAATTGATGAAGAAGAGACAGATCTCCGCCACAAGACTGAATTTGTATTATTGTTAGAAGTAGATGTGATCAATGCTAAACACAAAAGTATATAGTGAATATTAATATAAACATTAACATTGAATGCAATTCTATAAATAGTAAATATAAATGTATAAAAGCTTGAAACTGATAGTCCTCTTTTAAAATTGATTAAATTAATTTAATATTTTATAGGTTTACTTAACAATAATTAATAATACATTAAAAGGTATTAAAGTCTACATTTGAAAAATAAAATTTAAAAAAATAGTAAAGAATTATTTGATATTTGCAATTTCTACACTATAAAAAGTAAAGCATGATCAGTATAATAATAAATATCCATAGATTAATTTATTAAAACAAAGGAATAGAGTTAATAGAATGAGTTAGAAATAATTTAAGTTTTTTAACATAGTTTACCTAAAATATTTTACAAAATAGATATATTACCTTGGGTGTTTTTAAATTGTGTTTTATTACAATAAATATTGTTTTGTTGTTGATCATCAAGGACTTGGTTAGAGTTTGGTGCAATTGATAATGAAGTAGTATCTTCAATAGTAGATAAAGTTTGCTGGTCGATTCTTGCAAAATCAATAGCTGAAAACAAGTCATCTTCACAGTCATTAAACATAGACGAAAAATCATCCTTGTTATCAGTAATGTTATTTAGAAATGTATTTTCATCATTAATATGATTGGTTGTTATAGCTTTAAACTTCTTAGCAATGTGGTATGTATTATTATCATTATTATTGATAGTATTGTTATTTTTTAAAGGACTTATACCATCAATTGATACAGAATTTTCTTTTTCTTTTGTTATGTTATTAATTTTACAAATAGCATCATTTTCTAATTTTTTCTCAATTGCTTGACTAAATGTAAACATTATATCATCATCAGCATTGTCGTTTAAGAACTGATTAATATCATTATTTTCTGTTGAATCATTTTTAGAAGAGCCAGCAGCATTGATTTTTGATTTCATTAGTTGTCTTTTTCTCTTTTTAGCACCTATAATAAAAACATATATTAATTTTAAATCAGTAGAAAACTATTTTCTTTTACCAGTATTATCAATTATTTATATATGTTATCAGTTAATGTAATAAATTTAGAAAACTATGAGATTGACTAATCAATTCATATAGTCTATAAGTTAGTCAATATCTATATTGAATACATTATAATAGAACATTAAGTTGATAAATCAAATAATAATATAAATAGATGAATTGATTAAGCATTATAACATTTTTTATTGTTGAGCAGTCAATTATTATTTTTGTATGGTGCAGTTAGAATATTTTTAAATAATTTAAACTAGTTTTTTAAAAATTGAAGGCAAGTGTGTATACAAATACTTAAAACTGGTTTTAATTATTTGAAATCATTTTAACAAAATAAATAATAACTTTTTCTGGGTTAGTAAGTTAATTTATTAAAGTATCATATAGTTTATAGGTAATTATAATTAGTTTGTCTTTCTTTGCCACACTTATCATACAGGATGATTGTTACCTTTATTACATTACATTTCATAAAAGTTTTTATAATAGATTCAATAAAAAGTTATCACCTATATAAACTTAACATAAGAGTATAATATGAACTCATGAAAAATTTAAAAAAAAATATCTTGATAACATAATAATATCAACTGAATACTCCATTTATGTTTTATTCCTAAACTGTTTCCAAATAATCATGAATATCAATATTGAAATTCATAAAATAACTAGTACAAAGTTTTATCTTTCAGATTTGAAACCATTAACAATAACGTGGAAACATTTTTATTTCAATAAGTTTTAAATACATCTTATAGATGTAATAAATATTATCTGTTATAATTTTAGCAGTAGCCTTTTTCTTCCAATACATATAGACAATTTTTCTTTATTACTAACATAAGAAATGTTCACCCTTTTAATAATTTAATATTTTGAACATTTTTATATTTAACCCAAAACTGGATATTTATCAGTATTTATATAATAAGTTACCAATTAAATTGATATTACTTTTAAAAAGGATGTAATATTTGTTATGTTTCACTATATATATTATTTCTGATAATGTGACAATTTTCTTTATTTTCAAAAACCTATTTGCTATTATTTGGTATTCATTTGTTGAACCGTATGTGGATAAAGAGTGTGTGGACTACCTGATTTTGACTCATCAAAACTAAAATTAATTAACTATATAAAATGTGGAAATTATTTCATTGACTACATAGTTTTAGACTAAGTTATTAAAAAAATTGAGGTAATGTATATAATTATTTTATTTTATTGAACATCATGGTTTAAAGTAAAGATAAAAATTTAAAAAAATTAAATATTTAATACAAAAGTGAGGTCAGTTTTAATAAAAAGAAGATATACAGAGATAACTCTTATCTTAGAATCTATTAACTTTTTTCGGAATTTGTTTTATAAAACGCCAAAGAAACTAGCAGCTCTACATATTTACATTTTTTTTTTTTTTTGTCACCTTTATTTTTGGGGTTAAAACCACTACTTATGATTTAAAAATAGCAGTCTATATAAAAAAAAATTCATAAATAATTCAAGTATTAGTTAAAATACATTTTAGTGTTGACATTTTTGATTTACATCAAATTTGTTTAAAAGATATTCCATTTTTATGTTTAGATCGGAGGAGAGTAATGGAGCATTATTTTTGTGGCAGCATGTCACAAAAATGATTGAATTATTCTAATAATGCACCACTATAATGAGTACCTCATGATGGATTGATCATCCTGCATAAACAAAAGTATATTACAATCTATTTAAAAATTAAAAGATTTTTCTTTGTTGGCAATAAGCATCGTTTGGTAAATTTGTAGATTACTGGAGTGGTTTGTCATCCACAGTGGCAAAGAGAAATGATAAGGAAATCGGACACAAGGAGTTTTACAACCATAGAAAATAATTCAGGAAAATCAACTGATCCATCAATAAATTTAATAAAAAAACCTAATTCATGATAATTTGTCTGTCAATTTAAGACTGTAAAGTAATCTACTTGATATAAGTTTATAATAATGAAAAATGGTCTTCTGCTCAATTTTTAAAGAGTATGCACCAAAACTTAAAAACTTATTGAACCCTTTAAGATGAATCCTATCATTCACAGTATGTAGGTCGCAGATAATATAAAATTTTAAATTCAACCTAATAGTACCCACCCTCAATTGCAAGATATGCAATATGCAATGAGTAATTAAATTCCAAATGTGATTTCTAAAAAGAAATTGAGGCATATTTAGGCCCGTTCAAAAGAGAACACTCTCACTAAGATAAACGTTGATTTTGAAATGGAGTTTATAAGATAAATGACCAATCGTGGTCAGTTATCAGCCATACACTCAGTTTAAGAATCAGATAAACACCTATTTTACATTGGTTAGAATGGTGCTCAGTGATATAAAGCCCAAATCAAGATTTTTAACATACAAATTGAAGTCACTTTGTAATAGGCGACAGTTATTTACTTTTGACGTTTTTACATGTTTGATGAATAGTGTAAAAGTAATGGGGATAAATACCCACCCTGAGATAACCCAAATAAAATAGTAAGAACCAGTGATTTGGCACCAAATATTTATGTAATATGAGTAGATATGATGGTAATACTATTAATTATTATAAATACTTACTGAGACAACTCAATATACATCCAAGATAATCATTCAGTTCTGCCTGAACTTGAGCAGTGTTTATAGTAGAGCGTATAGGGGAAGGTGAACTATTTTGAAATCTATGAGAAAAAGATCGATGGCGACGTTCAGAAAATAATTTGCCACGCTTTCTTCTTTTTATATTCCTATTATTCTTGTCATCTATAATTGAATCAAATAAAATACATTTTAAGGCATTAAGACATTAAGAACAATTTTCTGGTAAATTAAGAAATAAATGTACAGACATATAGACAGGTAAAACTATAGCTGTATCAAATGTTCGGAGAAAAGGGATTAAATTAAATCAACTATAATAATTGTTACACTCCTTTTTCGAATATGGTCATTTAGTTAGAAATGCAATTTTTTTTTAATCATAGTAATATAATAAAAATTACAAAAATTAGATAAAAAATAACTATAATTTTTAGGTGATACTTATGTTGGTAATTGAGTTAAATAAAATGTTCTCTTTTTTAATTCAATCTTATTTAGTTCAGTTTTTTGGATTTACTGTAATTTTTTTTTTCTTACCCTGTTCATCGTCTTTATAACAAATACTACCACATCCATCATCCCAACCGATTCGCACATCATCCATATCATAATCATACGAGTTCCGTCTAGAATGCACAGGTATAAGATGTGGAAAATTCGGACTTTCTATATCATCTGAATCATCAGAACTGTCTTCAAACATAGATCGGACAGGCGTCTTGGGACTACCCACATCTAAATAATAAAAAAAAGTTAATTTCAAACGTATATTTTTTTTTTTGTATGCCAATTCAAAATTGATAATTGATATCGAACATAAGAAAAAAAATGTAATAAATCGAAAATAATATGACATGACAGCAGCTGTACATTCGGCCACGATTAAAATGCATAACATTTGCATACCTTTTGCCAATGCTTTCGGTGATAATGTTGTGGTGGTCACGAGTTCTTCTTTCGGCATTTCCATGTTTCACACAACGTACCTCGCTCAGTTGGATGTTTTTCAAAAATCGTTAAAAAATTTCAACGTCGAAATTGATGAATGATTAAGTTTAAATATAATGAAAACAAAATGATTAAAATAATAACGGAATAAAAAAAAAATTAGAAACGAATACTCAACAGGACCGTTACAAACGAGCCTGCCGTCTGGCGTCTGTACATGAAAAAAATCCTGCATAACTGCCATAACATCATGGTTTTGTTATCATTACAGCAGTATAAAATAATGATAAGATTCCAGTAACGTTGGTTCAAATCGTTGGTATATTCTATTAACCTTGGGTTCACAATTATCACAATTATCTGCCGGACTACCGCGTTATAATTATTATTATATCCAATTAATTAATAAAATGATTGTAAATATTTACCAAGTACCAAATAAAAAAAAAAAACTGTAGTAAATATGATAACGATTATTACTTATTATTTATTATAGTCATTGTATGATCAACATACATTAAAATCGTAATCGGATAATTGAAAAACGTTCATTTCAAGAGAACCATCGATAGTAGCAGCTAGTACGCTGTTACTATCGATGTTTCTCCGCCATTCTTTCAAACACTACCACTGCCGCCGCCTACGATAGTACGATACTACTATACGTGTTCGTCCTCAGCCATGGACATTGAACAGTTAACAATACAATAGTACCTACAGTGGTTGTACATTGTACATCAAAAAAAAGTACATTGTAGTATTGCGAAATGCCGTCTACGGTAGGTACAATATATTGTATTATCTATCATCTATGGGCAAGTAGGTTCTGGTAAACTCAGCTGGCGGCAGCAAGAATGCAAGAGCGATTAGTTGATATCGCTATGATACTATCTACTGTTCCGCGGTACGGTATCCCGATTCCCGGTACACCCGTTCCGCGGTCGGCGGACAGTAGGATTTATTATTGTAGTATGCGCGCACCCGAACGCTGCGCGGTAGTCGGCGCGCACGTATTTTAGAAATCTGGTCGGTGGCGGGCGTTGAGTATTGAACGGCGAATTTCAGATGTATAGACGCGGCGGCGCACGCGCTAACGACCGAACGAACCGCGAAGCCTGCCTCCGCGATTTATGCGCTAAACCCGGGCGACGGGGGCGACCAAAGCAGTACGGTCGCGAACTGAGTATTGTCTCGTCGTTCTCTCCGCCGTTTCGACGACCGTCCGTCGGATTTCAGACGTCTGAAAATAATATTTTCACAGCCGTAAAAAAACCGTTTGTGTTTCGTCCCGTACAAACGTGTCGTCTCCGCCATCGTATTATTTCGCCGTCGCCGCCGTTCTCAAAGCACAACTGTTCCATAGGTAAACGAGTACAATACTTAATGTAATTACTATTCATTTTCTCACGGTAATCGAATTACTTGAAAAATAGCAATATCCGCTTGCCGTGCACCGCGTTAAAATATTATATTATACATTTACATAATACTATTTATACGTACCCATTTATATTTACATATATACCCGTGTAACACAATATTATAGCATACGCATATTTAATACTATTAATATATTATGTCGGTCGGTTAGCGGTTTTTCGGAAACTATATATTATTGTTAGAATCGCTACGCGGCCCCGTCTGTACGGTAAACCGTAATGCTGTTGGTCCGGTAATCGGTATTCACGCCCGTCTTGGGCAGGGCGCCCGTGTCGTCCGCTAAGCACAAATTTACAGTTTTCAGAAACAATTTTAACTGCCAAGCGCCTACCTAGGTTAACATTATGGTCGTTATTATACTTTGTAATATCACCGTTGTATTGTTAATAAATAATACACACGACGGTGCATTTTTGACACCCGTATATTTTTTTTTCGTTTCTGTTTGCTTTTCGTAATACGTACGATTTTCATAATTTATATAGGTGTATTGAATCTGTTCATTATTTATATATTATAATAGATACGCGAGTAGTATGCACGACGTGTGCGCATAACGCGCATAATACAGCCACGTAGATACCGCGGTACAATACATAATAATATTATTGTAACGTAGGCGGATACGGCTATCATCGCGTGCCGCACGCTCGCCGCCGATAAATCGTACCGGCCCGGCCCGACACGGCGGCGTTCGCGATATTTCGTCGCGAACGCGTCATCGGGTGTAATAAAAATGTACCCAATTATATTATAATCGTACCGACTGTACCGGTTATACGTGCCAACGCGACCGTAGAGAATATCGAAACACGAAATAGCATTAAGCGGGCTCGCGTATATAGACTCCCAGCGTGGGAGTGGCCCACGGGGTTCGGACACCCCTCTTCACGCCTAACATTTTCCCGCGATATACGGTTTTGTTGTTCAACCCAACGAACATGTAGACGCCTACCCAATAATAGCAACGGAATGTCATTTTTTTAACCGCGGACCACTTCGCGCCACGTGTGTTTAGACTTTCAGAGCTGGATGGGAGGCCGCCGATATTTTTCAGGGATCTCTACTAGAGAAGTGAAAACTCAAACATCGAATAAACTAAAACGTAGACTATTGATACCCGATAGTAATAGTTGTCTTATCGAATCAAATATTATTTATTATATCTCGGTCCGACTTAATAATTGTTATTTTGAATGAGGTGCACATTGAATTTCTATAAAACACTTTGGTGGATAATCTCGCCGGGGACCCAGCTGTCTACCCTGCCACCCCTACCCGAAACACGCCCATGACCTAAATAAAATTATAGTCTCACGATTATTACTGTCCTGTACCGCCGCCTAAGATGTTGGGCATTTTAACGCGTATATAGTGGGCACTCGCCCCGGCACGTGATATTTTCAACGCCTTCGCCCTTTCCGCCCGACCGTCGCGTTTTCGTGTCTCGTAAATTATAATAATAATATTTCTTAACGTTTTTACAAAACAATATTTCCCGTCACGTATGCAGAATAATAATATGTCTGCGTATAGTTTTGGTTAGGTTTCTCTGTAAAAATTATGGTTACCTACCAGCAACACATACAAATTAAATCCATGCCCCAAACTATCACGATCACCGCGAATTGGGTGGGCAGACGGTATTTTTACATTCGCGGAGAATTAATATCGCGCAACGTTTCGTCTTTCTCAGTCTCGGCCGAAAAAACCGTAATAAAGAAATAATTATTTGTAACCGTCAAACGATATTCGCCACATTTCGTATGTTTATGCATCGATCATCATGCAAAGTCGAGTTTAATAACGAACGGTTTCGAAATTCAAAGGTTAGATTATAATTTAACATGATATTAACGTCTATGACGTTTATGCGAGCTACACCGGCTACATTGGCGATCCATTAACTGCAATATTATTTTGTACATTTTTTATTTACAAACGCCTCTTAATATGATACGACTATATTTTCAATTTTGATGATATTATTATACTGCATTTTTTGTTCGTACGTAGGTATTTCGCTTAAATTGAGTAGGTATTTCATTTAAATCGAGAATGACGTAATAAGTAATTTAGGTACGTAAACGTATTTCTGAGTGGGAAAGGAGTACCTAAATAAACTCGCCTGTTCCTATCATACGAAACCATAATTTTTGCCGTACAATAAATTGTATTTTATTATACCCCACAATACTGTATAAATCTTCCTCCCGGATTAATTATTATTAAAAAAAAAAAAAAAATGGCGACGAAGCCCCACCTTAGAACACTTGTGATTACAAAAAAAAAAAATCCTTTATTTTTGACGAGCTTCAGGTCAATTCCGTGCGCTAGTTTTAAATTTTAATGAGGTTGTTTCATCTCGAGCCTTGCAGTAATAAATTTAAAAATAAGAAACAGACATCTATACCCACTATCATTATGCACTTGTATACATATTAAATGTCTAAAATGTCAGTAGATCGTAAAACTAAATGATTGTTATGGTATAATAATCAAATAATACGCAACAACAGGGGTGTGTGGGGGGAGGGGTAGCCGGAGGCACCCCTTGGCCGCTGTTAATTCTTAAACATTAGTTGAGTGGTATTTAATGTTATCTCAGGTAACTATCGAATAGTAAACTGTACCTTAGATTCTGAGCTATGCGAAGAGTGTATAATATTGCTTGTACTACGACGATATGCGGTTTTTGTTTGAGCTATGAGCAAAAATCGGAAATCTTACTCGATCAAAAAATTACTGTAGCTCTCTTGTAGCATTTTTGGTGTATTGGTGATACGATGGGGAGGTCATTTTTCGATTCTCCTTATAGTTTTCGTAGTAAACGGAAACAAAGTAGGCAATAATTATTGTTTGTATAATTTTTGTTGACTCTGCTCAGAATCGTTTTTCTTTAGCGTTACGGTTTATCGTTGCGTACAGACGGAAATCGAATCAGTCTATATTATAACATCGTCCCTTCCGATTCGCCTACAAAGCACGCCCATCCTTTCTGCAGGCATCAACATTTTTTTTAAACGTTTTTCCGTTTTTCGGCACGTGAGCCTCGTAGACATTATTGACTTGCACGCCTATTGATACTGTGTGCGCAGAATCGCCAACAAACAGGATATAGGCATAACGGGTGACACGATGGAGGCCGCTTATAAGAGTCATCTTGGGACCAGCACTAAATGTGTCTTATGATGAATGATGATGTGATGATGAATCTTATAGGCGAAGTGGAGAAACGGATAGAACGTATTTCCGGGCCGTTCCAAGTGGTTTTGAATCTAACAAAGCGACTGAGAACCTTATACCCATGAGTCACATCAGCGGCGTCCACTGCCAGTATTATTATTTTGTCCGTGCGGTAGATCACGCGCGCGTATATCAAATATAAATTGGATCGCTGCCTCGATTTACTTCGCGAATCAGTTTTTCTCTTTTCTTTATTATATCGCGCGTAACGCACCAGCGCACACTCCACCAGTTGGCACAACTACGTTCGCTATATTATACACTCACTTACGCTATATCGTACACGCGTAGGCACGGGCGCATTTTCGCTCGGGAGTTTTTCCGCACGGAACGATTGATTTTTGCGGTCGGTTATTATTTCGCCGCGTTTAATGAAACGATAATATTATCACGGTTGAAAGACATGCGTGTACGCAGTTGATCCACTGAAGTGGCGGTACACCACTCATTATTGTCTCGGAAAGTATTGACTTTATCCGGAATTTGTTTTCCAGAGCATTTGAGAAACGAGCTGCTCTACGATTTTATATTTATGTACATTTTTCTCACCCTTATTTTCGGGGGTAAGACCACTAACTATTTTTGATTTTCGAACGGCAACCCATGTTGTAAATTCCACAAATTGACGGAGTATTAGTTGAAATATATTTCAGTGTTGAAATGTTTGATTTCTGTCAAGCCGTTGACGAGATATTCCACTTTTAGGGTATAGTAATGCATTTTTAACTCGCCGCGCGCCGTACTGCCACACAAAATATGAAAATACTCCACTACGTTCCTCCAACCCAAACTTAAAAGCGGAATATCTCGTCAACAGATTGACGGAAATCAAAAATGTCGACACTAAAATTTATTTTAATTAATACTCCGTCTATTTGTGGTTTTACCCCCGGAAACAAAGGTGACAAAAAAATAATATAAATATGAAATTGTAGTGCAGCTTGTTTCTCAAATGTTCCAGAAAACAAATTCCGGGAAAATTTAACGCTCTCCGAGATAATGAGTGTGCTCACTTAAATGGATCACCTGGTATTGTAACAACATTATTGACGATTTTCGAGCAGACTCGACGACGGCCCGCAAGTGCGGAAAATTAGTTTTCGCATTAGAGCGCGGGGACGACGGGGCACGGCAGCGTTACAGCGCAAACAATAATATTTTATACCGTCGCAGATTTATCACAATATAAAATAACGGCACAACAAAACGCATTTTCCGCCGCGCCGTGCCGATACGCTTTGCATTACGCGTTACGTATTATTTACGGTACCGTAAATAACGAAATACAATGTGTAGTCCCCGGATAAATAATAATACTGCACTATTATACAGAGCGAAAACGCTTGTGAATTATGGATAAAATTCACCATTCTATTCGACCCAATATTCTATTATGTATACACGGGTACGTCTAAATATTATATTTTAACGGGTGTTTATGACGAATGCGAATTCACGTATAATGTATATAACCGTAAACGCGATAGCGATTCCCAATTTTGTTTCGGGGGTTTACGGAGAGGAGCGTTGTATAAATACACCCATTGCGAGTCAATATACTTATTATACAGCGCTATAGATACGAACATATTTCCGATTTCGACTGCCGATTATATGTGTGTGTGGTAATGCTAAGTTCAAGTGGGGCAAATGGAAACCGGGGTAATTGCAAACGACGTTAATTAAAAACCAAGGTGTGTCATTAATATATATTAAACCGTGGTACACTATAATGTACCCGGTGATCAAGCGGGGGCCCACGCGGGAAGACAGGGGCGTGCCCAGGGGGTGGTTTTGGGGGATCAAAACTGCTTGAGATCTTAATTACTCTTTCAGTATCAACTGCTACGGCATAACGACCTTTTTCGTGTTTACGTCGCATAAACACATACTTGAGATCAACTACCCGTGAAAACCTACTCACAGAATTAGCTCTTCTATCAATCCACAATGACATGCCAGTAGACCCGGATAAAGTAGTTTCAAAATTATTATTATTTTTAATACATAATGCATACTATAAAAATAAATTATGAAATATATTATGTAAAAATATTTTTTACTAAAAATGCTTTTTATATAATTTCGAAATTTTTCTTTACATTTCTTTGCACTTATACGTGCTAATTTTATTATTTACAGTTATAACTTAATAAGATTAAAATGTGTTTATAATATTTAACAGTAATATAAAAAGATTACAGTTTTTTGTGTATACAGTTAAACAGATTTTACCTACTTATTTTTATAATGTAGTTTTGTGAATTTGATACCAACGTTAAAAATTAAAACCACCCCCAAAACAAAATCCTGGACACGTTCACACGAGTGACTACGTACCTCAACTAATCTTTCAGAAATTTTAGCATACCTCTAATATTTATTATAAATGGAACGCATGGGACCATACATAATTTTGCATTTTAATCAAAATACATTTTTATTAACATCTTCACTTTAATGTTTATCAAAAAAAATTAAGCTTGATTCTTTTTTACCACCAATTATAACTTACAATAAATCTAGTGTTAAATTTTCAACCATTTTAGTTGGGCCAAAACAATTTTAGATACATAAAATCAAATAAAAGTCTAAAAAAGATACGGACATACTTTGCACGATGGGTGGGCCACTGTTTGTAGCTGAGAAGTTGGGAAGATAGAGGGGAAATTTAATATATATCTGTTCGCAACGATTAAGAACTGTTAATGAAAAACAATACTCTTTGCTCAATATTGTTGCTTTGTAATATATACTAATAATATTTATATATTTTATCCTTAACATTCTTATAAAAAAAATTAATACTACTTATACTCTTGTACATTATACTCATTATACTTTGTAAACTACAAAGTACAACTTATAAAACGACTTACAAATAAACCTCCTGTTAAATTTTTTAGCATTTCTGTTTGGCCTAATAATTGTACCTACCGAACAAAAATTCCGTACTTAAACAAACCTCTTTATAATTAAAATGTCTATGAGTAGCTCAAAAATGGCTTCAATGTTTTGTAAATTTGACCACGTCTAGAAAAATTAAATGTAAGTTTTTTGTCCAAACTTCAAGTCTCTACAAATATTAACTGAATCAAATAAAAAAAAAAACAAAAAATTGAAAACAATATATTTCATAGATTATTCCGTTATTCCTTTTTTTTTCATATTTATTATGAAAACAGTTAGGAAAATCAAAACAATGTTCTACTCAAAGTACCACCCCAGTCAGATTTATTTTTAGAAAAAGTGCTACACTTGAAAATCGGAACAAAATTACTGGAAGAAAATTACCCACAGAAAAAAGTAAAATCAATATATTCCTCACTCCTCTCAGAATCTAAAAAAATTGCCAGAATTTTTGACAACTGTCTCGAATTAGCTATAGACATTTCCGGCCTCTATGATTATTTATTATTTTTATTATTAGTCAATGAATTATATATAACAAATAAACAAAATATAATGTTACAAACGTTTTTCTTGGTTTCCCTCATTATTTAAACTCTAATAAGGAAAATTATAAAAGGGCTGATACTGCTAATGGATGCGCCACTGTTATAGTGGGGGAGGGAGGGGGGTTAAATAAATAACTTACAAGATTTTTGACTAAGTTAAATTTCACTATAAATACTTTGGTTTAACTGTTTAAATAATGTTGACACCAAATTTTACTGGGAAATATTTACTTGGAAAATATATGGCTCAATGCAACTTACATTTTGATTGATTCTCGTAGGATATATAAAGTTATTTAATTTAAATCTGTCAGCAATGATAAATCATTGCAAACGAAAAACGGTTCTGAAAGAAGTTTGTTTATATATGATTTGAAAGGCTTTAATATTTACGATTTTCATCAAAATTTATCTTAAAACCATTATAAAAAAAATTACTACATTACACTTTATTTTTGATTATTTGAACACAATTTATAATGAACTTCGTGTTAAATTTATATTTTGACGCATTTCTGTTTCATCAAACAATTATATCCACATAGTACTTACCAAATAAAAACTAATAACAAATATAAAATGCCTATAAATAGCTTAAAAATCGCCAAAATATTTTAAAACTTCTACCACGAAGAAAACGCAAAAATAAGTTTTTTTGTCAAATTGACAAGTCTAAGAATATTTTTAACTAAATTACAACAACAAATTTAAAATAATGAAATCATTATTTCTAATAAAATACCACATTTAGATTAGAAATATGACCAGTGGCGTCGAACCTAATTTAAGTGGTTCGTATACCTCCTAGCATTGGTGGTTTAGTATAAAACATTATACATTTTACAATTAATATAAAGAGCAGTAGACATAATACTAACAATAATGCGAACCAGTCTATTCCAAGACTGCCATAGTGTATACTGTGTGATTCCATTAGTAAAAGTAAATAACTATTTGACTATCATAATTATAGCTATTTAATTAATAGTTGTACAATAAGTAACCAGTATAGTATCTAATCAATTTCGAAATCTACAACAGCGGCTACAGCTAGTTCACGTTGTTGTACACAAGCTACAAAAAGTGAAAAATACTCGATAGAATATTGTTATTATTTAACTATTTTTTGTTACATTTGAGATTATATATTTTTGTAGTAAAAAAATAATATATTTAAAATTAAAAAACAAGGTAAGATAATGGGGATGGGTGCAGTCACTGTTGTAGGTGGGAAGTTGGGAAGATAGGATAAAGACGGGAATTTAATGTATATCTATGAGCAAACATTAATTGCTAACGAATAAACAATTCTGAACAGAGTTCAATTGATAGTCAGATTGATAGTTATACTTTGTCTAAAATATGTCACATTATGGTAAAATAATTAAATAGGCATTATATATATTTTTTAATATTATTTGTTTAATATTGTACCGATTTTCCCGTTTTTCCCACGTTTTTTCACATTTGCTGGAACAACTCTTGAGAAAATCGAAAAATGATATACTTAAGTACCTTCCCAGTCAGATTTTCTTCAGAAAAAGTGCTATCCTTGAAAATCGCAGCAAAATTGCTGGTAGAAAAAATTCACATAAAAAAAAAAATAAACATTTTTATAAAAACAATACATTCTTCCCTCCACTCAGAATCTAAAATATTATACTTATTAAACGAAAAACAATAAATAAATATTAAATAAACAATAAATATTTAAAACTTTAAGTAGGTATATGATATGTTAACATAAAAGTACATAAATAAATCTTTTTTTATATGTACAAATTAAACTTATGTGTTGAATATTTTATACTTTTCAATATATATGACATGCTTAGAACCTTAGTATTGTTTTGGTCGAAAAGAGTCGCCCGCGTCGCAGTGCGTCTGGACGCACTACTACAGCTTGGCTATAGTGCTGCTGCTCTTGTCTCTTGCGTCATTAAAACACATTAAAAATGTCGAAACAATTTTGGATTTTCTTCAACCGAGGATAAAATATTCATTGAATTTAAATAATCTAATAGTAATTTTAGTACTATCTTGCCGTTTTTGTATTCATACTAATATGTGATATTACAGTTTTAAATTAGTAGTCACGCAATTATAAAAATATTTCGTCTAACTCCGATAACCATGAGTATTTCACAAATAATATTATTATTAGTTAAAATTAATTGTCGTTGCATCATTATGAAGATATTTCTAAAATAAATAAAAAAAAACAACATAAACGACTGCGTCGAGATACGCGTAGAGAAAAAATGTGAATGTTGCGTCTAGACACAGCGTCCAGATGTATACAAATTTTGCGTTTGAACGCTGCAGAGAAAACCTACATGTTTTAATATATTATAATAATTATTGTGTTCACTAGTGGCGGATTTGATTCATCTTTAAGGGGGCGGGGCAATATCCTTTTGGTCTAACAATTATACTTTTAACTAACATGACTATACAGAACATGAACTAACAGACGTTATGAACAGAGGTCGTGGTTATAATTTATTAACACTCTGAATTTCTATACAGATTTCTGAAAAAAATTATTATTTATAGGTAATTTAATGTCTAGGAGGTGGCCATAGCCCCTATGCCCTCCCCCTTAAACGCCGTGCCTAATGTACGCAACGTATATTACATTTTTCCCTATCTCCGTGGGTAACGATGGTACTCACGCGGTACATAATAGGCGAATCGATGGTACATGTAGTGATGTCCCACCGGGAAATTTCCTTGAAATCACTTTTCCCATTTTCTTGTCTTTCCCAAAAATGTAATTATTATGTGACGTATTAAATTGTATTATTTTAGAAGACCATATTAAACATCTTATCCGTAACATTATTAGACAATTGTCAATTTTTTTTTACCCGTCGATTAGCTCGCCGCTCGCGGTTCGCGTTTTCTAACGGATAAACGTGCTTAATAAACCGGGCCATTAACATTTTTTTACCTACCTTTTATCCTTTTACCTAGTTAATTTGTGTTTATTTAAATGTGCACACAACTGACACAACGGTACTACTCGCAGCTGCACAAGTACACAAAATGGACATAATATAGTAGTGTCAGAAAGTTAAATAATGTTCATAAAAATATATACTTTCGCCGTTTGAAGAACATTCCCGGAAAAGTGTCCGTCCCCAGCTAGGCGCATTGTGTATGTAATACTTATATTGTTATACGCACGTTGTTCCGTAGGCGGACGGCATTTTTTTTTTTCGCCCCCTTCTAATCATCGTGCAAGAGCACTGCCGAAACAACGTAATGACGCGCAACGATACTGCAATGACTCGCGGGCGGCAATAACGTGCGCGGAAGGGTGCGGCGACGACAATGCAGGTCAAGGTTGCCGCGCGCGGCCCATCCCTGCGAAAAATAAGCTGCTGCCGTCCTTCCGCCGGCGGGCGCGACAGCAACGTCGCCGCGCGCGTATATCTTTTTCGCGTAATATTGTCATCATTATCGTTATCGTTATTGTTGTTATTATTATTATTATTATTAATACTATTATCGTGTAGCCGTATGCCGAGGGACCGTGCAGATCGAAATCGATCCACGCGATAAAACCGTATTCCCGTCGCGCCGCCGTCGTCGGCCAATAATATTATATTGTCGTCCTCGTGAATGTGTCGTCTCCACCGCCGGGCGTCCGCGAACGTTGTCCCGGCATATCGTGTCGTGTGCACTATACATTGTATTATTAATTACGATGTCACGCGCACGCGATAAGTACGTATCGTGTATTTAGTCATGAACCCCCGGGGGTTTTATTGTATTGTATTATGTATACAGGTGCAGGGGATGATGTCGTGTATATTCGTACGTAAACGAAACGACATTATACCGCGGTCATTACGGACACCGTATTGTTATCATAATATTATTATGAATTTCTGTATTATTATTTAACGCGCGGTGACGCCAGTACTCACGGGTGAGCTTTTCCGATGGTCAGAAAAAAAAAAACTAGGTTCATTTTTTTGAACATGTAATGCATGCAAATTTTACGCCGCCGAACGGTTTAAACGAACGGATTACCGAATTTCGGTCCGTTTTTAAGTTTCGAATACCTATTTATACCGTGAGATTTCATTGATTATACTATACTGTATCATGTATGTTGTATATGTTTACGTGTATAGTTAATTCATATCGATACCGATTATTATCATCCTTCGTCCAACCCAGGGGTGACCAAATGGAGGAGGAAATATATCCCCCCACCCATGACTTTGTCTCATTCAAAATGTATATAAATTTTATTACCTGTGTATAATACATCTATAAAAAAGAACAATGTCGATGAACATAATTGTTGAATTATCAGCCTCACACCTCTCTGTGATGAATTATTTGACCACCACTGGCCTAACCTATTCCAAATTTCTAAGAAAATTTGACTGATAATGATTTATACAATTTATTGTTGATTTATTGTTTTATACAATATAATTTTTTTTTTTATTTATTGTTTTTATATTTATTTTACTATAGAAAACAGAGACGATCATAACCCTCTAGAAGAACTCCAAATCAATTTACATCATGCCCGCACCAACCAAATCAAACGCAGCAATGTCACCCGACGGAGGTCCAGCACAGCCGGCTGTACCGAAAACTGAGCTACAAGAACTCCAGATAAAATCTGGAGAAGTAACAGATGAAGTGAGCAAAATTTAAACATATATTATTTTCTATGTCTGATACTTTAATAATACATTATTTTGTTTTTTTTTCATGGATTCAGTCTCTCGAAAGTACCAGAAGAATGTTAGCGTTGTGTGAAGAGGTATGATATTATACTTAAATTATTTAATAAATATTTAATATTTAATGACTTTGTTTTCATGAATTATTTAATATATTAAATGCATATGTAACTAATTTATCTATAAATTTATTAATTTAAAAAAAAAAAAAATATATATATATATATATATAAATTAATCTGTCGGTACAAATCTAGTTAAATCACTCAATCGATTTCCAAGGAGAGTAATACAAATGTCTTATAATTATTTGGTGTTTATTATGTTCACTAAGAATTTGAATCAGAAATAAGCTTTCGAACTTAATTTTGAAAAAAAATTGTGCCCAACCATGCCATGTTGTTTTGTTTAGTCGTAATAATTAATAGAAGAGGGGTATTACTGACGTGAATAATATTAATACTTTTAAGATAAAATTATTTTAAATTATAAGTCAATATTTTAATAAAAATGTCTACCATTTCATTATTACGACTTTAAGATATTAATTTCTTAAAAACGAAAATTGTATATACGTAACAGATTTCAATTAAATATTCCAATTTATTTTAGTTTATCCAATATTACTTAAAATAGAACAGTAACGGATCCAGAACCTAAGTTTTTTTTTTTTTGGGGGGAGGGGTTGGGGTCAAAATCATTTACAACTACGAAAATTGGTATATAATTTGCCATAATACAGGAAAAACACATACCATACTATGGTGTTGGGGAGGGGGTTTAATATGACTATATTTCCTCCCCTGGATTTGCCACTGTAGTAGAAAACCTTTAAATCACCAATATTGGCATAGTGTTAATTCCTACAAAAGATAGTGTTAATTACTATAACAAATAATATTAACTCCTACACTAGATAGTTGTTAAAATTCATAAATTCAAAAATTCCAAAATATTATAATACATTTGTTTTATAAATTAAAATTAGTAATAATTACTGATTTATTTACGTTAATTTTTATAACACACCCTTTTAATAAAATCATGCCGTAAAATTTCTCCTTCTTCGTATTTATTTTTGCTAATTTATGTACTCATATTTTGAAAATATTATTGTCTACCTGACAAGATAAGCAGATAAGCTGTGGATAGTCATTGCATCTAATTTGTACGTAAATTTCTGTCCGTATATTTAATAAAACGTTTACAAATCAATGTAAACTTAGATGGCGATAGTAAAAATTGCTGTTAATTAGGAATGAAACGATTTACACTCATTAGAAGAAATTTTGGAGAAATCTACGTTTATATACAACAATTGTACAATAATTAATAAATTCGTGTCCATGCCTAAATAATTCTAATTTAAAACTTTCAAATATTAAATTCGAGTGCAGAGGTATGATTGAAGGATGACTTGATTCTTAATCTTCAATATAAAAAAACTAGATTTGAACCCCACCTTTTTCATGTGTGGCCTTCAAAATTTCAGAAATAGAAATGTTTGTATTGTAAATTATATAATACAAATATTTTAACTACAGCAAAAGGATTGTTGATGTTTACTATGTCTAAATTTTATAGCACTGCATTAAAATAACATTTAACCGTATGCATACAATATACAATGGGATGTAATAATTACGAGGATGATATTTTAAATATTATCCTTACATTTATTATTATTATTATATATATATATATATATATAATTTCTATTTCATTAAATCCGATATTAACACAATAATCATAAACAGATTTGTTTTTTTATAGGCGTGCGTGTAAAATATAACATATATTATATATTTGTATAATAAAAACTAGCTAATAATACTATTATGGTTGCTGCCGCCGCTGCTATTTGCGCCGCTGCATGATGGTTGTGTTGTCTTGTGCATTATATTGCTTGTTATAATCTCAAATTAAACATTAATAATATTCATTTAACAATTTTCAAACGTGTTAATTTACGTCCTAAAGAGCCCCTATTTATCGATAAATACAGGATGATTCACTAAGCGTGCTCATCACATTTTTTTGTCAAATTTTGCATGTATTCAAATTCAGACTTTTGGAATTTCTAAATGTAGTTAAAGCCGATATTTTGGAATATTTAGATTTATCACAACATTTTAGGAGTATACTGTGGCGATAAAAACTTTGGTTTTTCAAATAAGAACCTATATTAAAAATTTCATAAATAGACAGAGTATTACTTTAAATACATGTTTATGTTAACATTTTTGATTTCCGTCAACCCTTTAACGAGGTATTCCACTTTTAAGATTAGGTAAGGGAGAGTGGTGTAGTATAGTTTGTGTGGTAGCACGGCGTGTGACGTTTTATAAATGCTCCACTACTCTCCCTCTACCTAAACTTATAAGTGGAATATCTCGTTAACGGATTGATGGAAATCAAAAATTTTAACATCAAAATTTATTTAAAGTAATACTTTGTCTATTTATGGAATTTTTAATATAGGTTCTCATTTGAAAAACTAAAGTTTTTATCACCGCAGGATGCTCTTTAAATGTTGTGAAAAATCGAATTAATCAAAAATACTATAGATGGAAATTCCAAAATTTGAATTTGAACCTTATGCGAAATTTGACCAAATAAATGGGGTGATCATGCTTAGTGAATTACCCTGTATAATATACTCATATGAGACGATTTTTGCAATTATCAGACCCGGCGTCATGTTATAGAGTATTTTGTAATTAACATTATTACAAAGATGATTAGTAAACATATAAAACATGTACTTACCTATATTTATAGAGTTACTATATAAATTATTGTTGACAGTCTTGGCAGCATAGATACTTTATATTTATGTTTTACATAATAAAAGATTATTATCGTGAATTTATGTAGGTACACAAAAAATCAGTTTAAAAATTTTACAAACAATGATAGTTAATGTTTATTATGGGTTATATGATGTTATATTTTGTATTTTACGAAAATAAGTAAGGAATAACTTTCCATTCAATATAAGAATATAACAGTTTCTAATAATAAGATGAATTCCTATAGATATTTTACTGTAAAAACCAATTTACACACATCACTTTACACTTTACAGAAATACATTTTGAAAACTTAATCTTACACAAACGATTTTAAAGTAACTATATGTACTAAGGTTTGTATAGTATATATTATGTACTGTACAAACGTAATAATATGTATTATCAAATAAAATACACACAAAATATAATATATATATATTATGTATACAGAAATACATAGGTTACACTATACAATCTCTCATATAATTATGTTATTATTATTGGTTTTTTTTCTTTCACACGCACATCACAATACCATCACCACTCTCACCAAAACAACCACAACAATTATTCTACTTTCGAATACTATCAATAATCCAATTCTACAACCATGTAGAGCAAGGAGGCCGGAATACGAACATTAGTCGCGCTCGACGACCAGGGAGGTGAGTTGTTGCAGTTCTTTGCTGTCGCCGTTGCTACGGGATCTTGTGTACTATTAAAGAACACAATTACACACACATATATACAAACAAACAAACAAACACACACACACACACACACACACACAAACACACATCATATTATTATTATTATTCACAGAAAAAGTGCACGCGCGCTATTCACATTGTTATTATCAACTTGTTTTTATTTATGTTTTCCAAAATAAACATAATAATGATGATAAATAATTTAAGCATTACCGTCGGTTTAAACCGTTTTTCAAAACGCACTAAAATCACAATTTCACAGATGTATCAATAAAAAAAAAGAAAAAAAAAAAAAAAAAAAAAAAAAAAAAATACCAAATCAATTGATAATAATAACTGTTAATTTATGTATATATTTATTATTTATATATATTATATTCATGTACATCTCATTAATCACAACAACACTACACAAACACTTCTATACCACTAATATTCAAAGGAAAAAATAAATACAAATGAAAGGCAAATAATATTAGACAAATATGGGATTTATTCTATGTTAAAGGGTGTTGGTCTATATTATATTCACAATAAAATGTATATTTTGCTTAACAAAAAATTATTTTTATAATATAGTTTTTAAGCTTGATTAATGAATAATGCACAGAATAAATAAAGATAATTTGTATCTTTAAATAAATATGTATTAAAATATATATTTTATATATATATATATAAATATATATATATGTATATACTAACTACTGAATAATATTTGTACCTAATATTTGGTGACTATATGTTATAGATGGTATTATAGTAACTTATATATTTGTTGCTATAAAAACTTTTATATTATTTAAATATTTTGCTTTACAAACTATATTATATTATAACTTTTTTTTTTCTTTTTTTATTCCACATAATGTATTTAGCATTTTTGTGTTTATTATTTTATTTTTTCATATTTTATATTTTAGAGTGTAGATGTTGGCACAAAAACAATAGAAAATTTGCACATTCAAGGCGGTAAGACTTATGTTGTCTAAGGTTATTTTATTAATTTGCTTTAAATTTCTTTCTACATAAATGTTTCTAATTTGTATGTTTTAATTAATTAAATATTTCTTCGGGGGTGAATAATATCATAATAATATGCCACTTATACATAATACATTTATTTGGGTACATATATATAAATAATAGAATAATACCAAGACATTAGTGTATGTGTGTAAAATTATTTCAAATAATTAATAAGTATTATTATGGTATATTTTCATTATTTTACCCTGTAAATTTGTTTCCTTAAAACTTACATTTTTACTTATTTTTCCTCGTTTTGCATATAATAATTTTATGTAGTAGTTATGTTATGTTGTGTTGTTGTTATCAGTGGTATGGCGAACTATTTTTAAAATGTTAATTCCTTGTAGGTTTTTAAGAATGGGTGGATAAATAATGACTATTAAAAAAATTAAAGTATAACTATTATTAGCTATTTACGTATATAGTTGCTATATAGGTATCTATGTAGTAACTTTAACTAGAAAGTCCAAAATTAATATAATATCAAATTGTTAATATTTTGTTAATTTTATTTGATCATTTACCCATAGTATGGGTACTCAAAATAATACCTATGTAAATGTTTTGATTACTTATAATACATTTAAATTCGCCACACCACTGGTTATAATTATTGACTTGTTGTTTGAATTCGTCATTTATAATTTGTCCTGTTTTACCTTAATCGTTCATTTATTGTGTGTCTTTTTAACTCAATCAATTTAGATAACGAAATAGATGTTAAACATAAAATAGATACATACTTAGTCACCTAGATAAAAATCCATGTAGACGTGTACCTATAATAATATTTGTATGTGTGTATATATGTATAAATATATATATTTATATATATATATATATATAGATAGATTTAGATAGAACACAATAAATATCAAATATACATCGACATAATCCTCATCATTACGACAAAGGTTGTTGTTGGTGATTATTTTTGTTGGTTTTTTTTTGTTCAGAGCCACGAAGTCGGGATGAGATCTCTTGTGATGTTGGACGAACAAGGGGGTAAGACATTAATAAAAAAAAAATCAAATAAACAAACAAAATTTAAAAATAACAATATACCTAATACGAAAATTTGAGACGCGATAAATGGCAGTAAGTTGGATTCATAGACATATGAACTAAGTCTATGATAGTTGGATTACTTATATTATATAAGTATATCTATAATATCACTGTAAAAATATTCTTTATTTAATATATCTTTACATAATTGGTCATATTAAATATTTTTTAAATATGATTATATAAATCTATGAATTTAAGTAGGTAATAATGTTCAATTTTCTTTATTCATATATTTTAATTAATACTAGAATCTACAACACATGTAATTGTAATATAGTTTTGATAATGAAATCAAATAATCATTAATTTATAATTTAACCTTTCAGTGGTGTAACTATCTGAATATTCTCTTAATCAAAAAACTTTATGAGATCATTAAACTAGGCACCTATATTAAAATAATAAATCTAAATAATTTAGTATATTTAAAAAAAAATTCTATTGAAAATTAAAAATATTCCATAATTCGTTAACAGGTTTGAATAAGTAGTTAGTAGATACTTATTTGAGTTTTTAATTTATAGTTTTTTTTGGAAATATTACTTATGGTTTATAGGTTATTAATACGCTCAATGGCGTAGCCATGATTTATCAATGGGAGGAGGAGGGAAGATTAGGGGGTTTATTAGTCTAAAAAATTTTGAACCATACCTATACCTAAAAAAAGAAATAGAGGGGGTTACAACATCCAATCCTCTCCTGGATACGCCATTGAATACGCCACTGAATAAATATATCGATGTCAAAAATTAATAAAACAACAACATACATAATATAAACAAAATAATATATTTTCTTTTTCAAAATATTTATTCACTAAAATACAAATGTGAATCTGAGGAAAACGTTTAAAACCTATACTTATTTGTCTAAAACTATAATATACCTAATAAATATCTATATTGAGGTACAAAATACTGCCGGTAATGTTCTTTAATATGAATAATTTTTTTGATTGATTGTATATATATATATATATTATATGTGTTTAATATAATATATATAAACTAATCATTTTTATTCATTATTCATAATAAAGACTTGAATGTATGATATTTTTATAATTTTTATATGTAAAACACTGCGCGTCTAGTCAAATAATTTAACTATCACATTTATAAGAAAAATCACTACACACCAAAACAATATAATTATATACACTTTTATACCTGACTTTACATAGATCAATAAATTATTATTCTTTTTTGTCTAATCTATTTTGTTTTTTTTTATGCGTGTATGTGTGTTATGCGTGTGTATGATTGTGACATTTTCAAAAAACCATAGAACAATTGGACCGGATCGAAGAAGGTATGGATCAAATTAATGCTGACATGAAAGAAGCCGAAAAGAATTTGACGGGCATGGAAAAGTGTTGTGGAATATGTGTGCTGCCTTGTAACAAGTACGATGAGTATCTAAATAGATTTTTTCTGCGTTTTAATTTTTATTTTTAATAATAATGTACTTGCGCGTGTTTGCAGGTCAGTTTCGTTTAAGGAAGATGAAGTCACGTGGCGGGGAAATGATGATGGTAAAGTTGTTAATAACCAACCACAACGTGTGATGGACGAACGCAACGGCATGGGCGCACAAGGCGGTTACATAGCAAAGTACGTCTACTTGTATACGCTAAGGACATTATTTGGGAGGCTAGCAAAAGTTTGAATGGTCAATTAATATAAACGTTAATATTGGCGGTTCTTGAGAAGGCGTTTATTCAAATCTGGATTCGTTGAAACGTTCTTATAATGTAGGTACAACATGAATCATATTCGACAAGAGTTTGAAATTACAATTATTTAAATCGTTTTTATTACGAATCTTTATTTTCTTTTAACTCGTATATCTTGAAACTTAATTTCGGTTTTTTCTTGCAGTACAAAGTACAATCATCTTAATCGTTGTTTACACGAACTATTATTAATTTTTTATCTTATTTTTCACTGTAGTGAACGAAAGACGACCTTAAATGATTATCAGTTTATCACATCATCACATTACCTAGGCTGTAATGTTCTGTGATAGTAGGTATCTATAAAATATTGTACGATTCATTTTACTATTAAAAGTTTAAGATTATTTTCTAATAATATGGTATAATTATTATGTCAACTCAAGACTGCGCTGGTTTAATCCTGTATCATTTATCAGTGTAATGTTAGTTCATTTTAGTGTATTTTTCATAGGATCAGAAGCTGTGGAGGCGAGGAGTTAAGGGGGGCGTATCCCTAATTACCTAAATTTTCTTAAATATATATAATAATATACAGTGTGATTTTTAAAGCATCCTACCCTATTCGTAAGATTAAATTATGCATACATACTACAAAGTGTAGACAATACTTTTGAATACTTAGATTTTTCACAATACTTATGGAGTATCATGTGATTAACCAACTTTGGTTTTTTAAATGAGAGCCTACATGTTTTGCAGATTTTTAATTAGATCATTTTTCTGAAAATGTTGACGTATTGTAATGGACATTTGTTATTCTACTTTAAACACTAAGGCTAATAGCCTTTTATGGGTATTAGATACAGACTGTTTCATAGAAGTCGTGTATAGGCAATTTTTTGTATTTTCGTACAGTTGCCTTTAGTATTTAAAGTAGAATAATTTAAAAACATTAGGTTCAAATTTCGATTAAAATATGTCAACATTTTCAGGTAAGCATACTTAAAGATTAATTTTGTGTATTATATCATCAGTAATAAAAAAAATGATTTAAATAATAATAGTTCTTAAAAATTATCTTTAACCCTTTCAAAGCAAAATCATTTGTTCGCTACTGTATAGAATGACAATTATACATAATATATTTTTTTGAATAATTACCATATCACAATTAATCGACTCATGACAGTGTTCATTAAAACGCATCTCTTTTTTAAAAATATAAAGTTTAGAAAATATGATGAATCAATGAAACAATTTTCAAACTTTTGCTATGTGTCCTTTATTTAGAACAGCCCGAATTACTTTAACTTTAAAATAAAACCAGCTTTATGATATCTAACTAACGTGTTATTGATCAAAGTAATTAATAATACAAATTATAATAATAATATATATATAAAGATATTTTAGATACTTATGGTGTTTTAATCACAATACAATTTTTAATTGCACTTAGGCGCGAGAAGGTCTGTAATAACACAGTTTTCGATTGTTTTAAAAAAAAAAAAAAAGATTACAGAAGAAAGAATACAGATATCTATTTTCAATTGTGCGTTAGATTTTACTGCCGGTTGTCTATACATACCTCTTTAAACATAATATTTTTTTTCTCATGGCATACGGCTTAAGGGGCTTAATAAGTAACTATCGATATTTTTTAGTGTTGTGTTACGAGCAGATTTCTACAGAGCTTCCCGTATTCCTATCTAGTACAAACAATCTGGTATAGACATGTTAAGAAATTATGTTTCCCTGATGCCTATGGTCATGACTGGTGCTAACTGGTGGGGAGTGAAAACTGGTCGCAAAAGCGGTATATTCTCTTTTGAAACAGGATATATCTTCTATCCAAGCACCCCAGAAATGAAAAAATTGATTTCAAAATATTTAAAAGGACCTTAGAGAGAGTAAAAGGAAATTATTTGAACAAGTTACTGTGTAGTACCGAACAAGATTATTCGCGGGATAGGGAATGTAATTTTTTCTGTTTGTACAAAAGAATAGATATGGGTTAAAGTCAGTGCATCGTTGCTATATGTATTTGGTTTTTCGAATGATCTAAACCAAAGTAATAGAGTTATTGGGTAACAATCATAAGGTATTTGTAGTAGAATTAGTATTTGAAAAATTAAGCCAATTTAAATACCATAGAACTACCATTAGGAGTAGCAATGACTGGCGCGTAAAAATAGTAAACCGCATACACAAAGCAGAAAAAGCTTATTATGCATTATTGATATTTTCCAATATCTATTTTCGTTATTTTTTTCCAATTTTCATATCCATTATCAATTTTCCACTGTTTAAATTATTCTCAGGAAGAAAGAAGTTAAGACTATATATAACTGTAGTTAGACCTATGCTAATATATGGATGGGAGGTGTAAACAATAACAGCATAAATGGAGAAAAGATTACTATCTTTTGAGAGTTAAGTATTGAGAAAAATCTGTGGTACACTACTGCATTATTTGATGAAGAATTGGGTTCTTGGTGTAGAAGAATAAACACCGAAATCCGAGAAATTATGGAGAAGCCCAAGGTAACCAAAAGCTCAACAATTACAATGGTCATATTATGAGGAGAGATGAAACAAAGACTGTGAAGGCAGCTATAGAATACCATCTAAATTGGAAGGCCGAGGGGTAGACCGAGGAAGAGATGAAGTGAAGCAAGACTTAAGAACGATGGAAATAGAAAATTAGATGGATATTGTTCAGGATAAGGATAGATAGAAAGCTGTGACGATAGTGGCGAAGAGTCATAAAGCCAAAAAGAAGAAGAATTGAAGCCACGCTTATGTTATCCCTTATGTACTCATTCTCTATCCTATTTCCTTTCGCCACTCTCATTCACATTAAAATTTTTGCTATACTCATTTTCTGTTTTTTTTGCCTGTCTATTGTCTAATACTCTGAACCATACAACATAGTTGCTCTCACTTTATTCTTATAGAACTTTCCCTTAAGAGCATGTTAAACCCGTATCTACTGCCTTAGTCTAACTACCGGGTAACATACAAAAATAATGCTTACATAATAGGTAAAACCAATTTAATTTTGATTTTACAATAAAAGCATCAATTATGAAATTTATAGAGAACTATATTTTGCGGGAAATGTCATAGAGTTTTTGTATTATTCAAAATATACAGCTCGACATAAAAGATATAAAAACTTTTTTTTTTTAAATAACTTACTTTTTTAGTAGTAATTCAAAAAAATACCTATGACATTCCCTCTAAAATATTGTTCTCTATACATTTCATAATAGATACTTTTATTCTAAAATCTAAATTAAGCTAGTTTTACTTATTCTATGTAAGCATTGTTTTTGTATATTATTTGGGAGTTAGACTGAAACAGTAGATGTGTGTGTATGTCTTGTGAGTGAGCTTTAAATACATATACATAGGCTAAATACTATGCTGGTGACACTTGTATAATTTTTAGAACTATATTCACAATGTAGGTACATATTGTACAGAAATAAAAGATTTCATACCTAAATGCATAAGGTCTACATACTTATATTATAATTTATAAAATATTGTTGTGTCTTACAATGTAAAAATTAAGTTACCAAATAGATAAATATACTCATTTGTATTATATTCGATTGGTATAAGGATTAATCAGGTGTCAAATCTTCTGATTATTAGTAGATAATTTATACACAAATGTTAGTAATTTTTTATATTTATTTACATAGAATTACTAATGATGCAAGAGAATCTGAAATGGAAGATAATATGGGGCAGGTCAATACAATGATTGGAAATCTCCGTAACATGGCACTTGATATGGGAAGCGAATTGGAGAACCAGAATAGACAAGTTTCACGGATAAACATGAAGGTTTTATTTTGTACTCTTGTATTTTTGTTTAAAAGCTGTAAATGATTTTGTTAAGAGGAAATTATACTTAAATGTGCTATTGTATCAGTCCAACTAAAGGCAATATAGCAAAACCTACTTTATGCAGATTGCATAGAATTTGATTAGTTTTGATTTAAGAGTAAAATCAATAATTATAAAATTAAAAAAGGACAATATTCTAGAGGGAAAGACAATGTGTTTTTCATATTATTCTAGTTCTTATTTTGAATATAATCTTCAATACATCATTTAGAAATAAAAACTAATTCATCGCTTTTAAATGACTGTAACATTTCAAATGAATAAATAAATAATAAATAATTTAAAAAAAGAACCTATCTTCTTGCCCTCCTGAATATTATGCTCTTTTAAATTTATAATAGGTCATTTTTCTCTAAAACCAAAGTTAAGCAAGTTCTATTCAGTCTATGTAATGTAAATTTTGCTATATTGCCTGTTGGTTGGACTTTGATAGCATAGAATATAGCGAATAGCAGATATAATGTTATATTCAGAGACCCAGTGTTAGCATGGGTTTTGGCTCAAAAACATGCTTTAGTGGAAAAACTCATGTTTTAAAGAGTGGTTCGATTTTGATTATTATTTTTTTATTAAAATAAAAAAAACTTTTTACTGACCTACATTGAACTCTATTCAATATTTTCATCCTAAACTTTATAATACACATTTAAGAAAAAAAAACAAAATTAAACTTTTATTAAATTTCCAACCCTTAATACTAAGAATTAAAAGTGATACTAAACAAATTTTAAAATTGAAATACCTAGATCAAAATTTTGAAAAATAAATGTTGGAAATTATATGATAGTTGTCTAGAAAATAACTACTATGCATTTTGTTTGCTATAAATTTCCATTGTGCATTTTATATATGATAACATAACTTTTATATGTTGACAAATTATTTCAGGCTGAATCTAATGAAACAAGAATTTCAGTGGCTAACCAGCGAGCTCATGAATTACTCAAGTAGTTTGATTATGAATGCTGAACAACTGCTAATGTTTTACAAATATCTTTTTATTATTGCTACAGCTATCAGAAATATAATCTTTTTTTCTAAGTTGATAATTCTTTAAATTGTATTTATAAAATTTATAATTAATTTATCGTGAATTATTGTTATTTATATATATTATTATTATTTTAGTTATTAAAATATTTTACATACATTTTTATGTCTTTTAAATATAAAATTAGTTTAGTAATTTGTAGCTATTTTTTACAATTGTTAATAATTTTTAAGGTTAAAATGCTGGCAGTAAATTTGATTACAGAGATAAATATTATGTGGTCCAACATTTATTTTCATTTATCGTTAAATTTTATTAAATATTATCATTATTATAATTACCTATTATACTCAATTTTTATTCTAACCTAGGGTTAGAATTTTGGAGCAAGGGCTTACATTTAATATATAATTGTTGACATATAATTGAGGATAATTCTTGAATACAAAATTGTTTTACACCATTCATCATTCTTATTTATTTATTATGCCAAAGTTTAATACAGTAAATGTTCAAAATTATGATATTTTCTTTTTTATAATTTTGGGAAAAATATATTTTTGACAAATTAGTTCTATAGTAACTTACAATATCTGATGTAAAAATATCATATTATTTTTACATTACATATTGTGCATATCAATTTTTTTGTTTATTGTTATTTAATTGTTTAATGCACAAATATTTTGTGGCGAAATTCATATTTTTTTAGGTAATTTTTAGATTTAGTAGTACCAATTTTTAAACTCTATTATTATATTATATTAACTCTATTATTATTATTGTAAAACTCTGTTATAATTAAATTCAGCAATAATATATTTAGGAAAAAAGTAAAAGGATATGATAATTCTTATTAAACTTTTCAATATTTATGTACATTTTCCAAAATATTCCAAAATATATAATTTTTTAGCAATATAATATAATATAATTTTTATTTTTACTTATGATATTTATAAATTGGATATTTATTTATTATTAAAATTATTGATAATAAGATATATTTATCTTAAGTTAAAAATGATTTGTTAAAGAGTAATATTTGTTGACTTTATTATACATTACATATTTATTCAAAATATTTATATTTAGTAACATCTAAAACCTATTCAAATATTTTCGCATTTTATCACAACATTTATGCATTCTATTATATAATTATATTAATATTAGATTGCAGTTAACATAAAAAAATTATTATGCTTGTATTTTATTATTATTATTATTATAATTATTCTCTTATCTTAACTCTGAGTATTAATTCTATTGACTTTATTGACCATTAAATATATTGTTATATATATTAATTATTAGTTCATTAATTTTACAACTTTGAAATATGGAGAGTGGAAATTGTTTTAAAATAGTTAAAGCCTGATTGAAACCGTTGTTATTTTATATAAATTATATTTTAATAGTTTCAAAAGTATTAGTGTAATTGTAATATTTATTACAAAAGTGATAATAAATACTTTATAGTATATATATAGACCAGGTTGTGTAAATTTATTAAGTAAAAACTTCCTGTATACCTATTTCTACTCAAAAACTACTCAGTATAAATTTAAGTTAGTTGGTAGGTAATTTAAAAATAAATGTTGGATTATTAATTCCATTTCTACCTATATAAAGTAAATGAACACATTCCTAATAACTGCATAATACACATCTATAATATATAATATGTTCTACTGGGTAAAGTTAGATTTCTGCAATGTCATTATACTATTTATCAAATATCTCGAACATTTACAAAAGTAGTTTAATTACTGTAACAAAATCAATTCTGCAACATAATAGCTAACTTTCATTTAAATCTATAATTTCATACATTTTTGCAAATGTTAAATACAAATTCTTATAGAACATTTTTACATCAACTTATAAATGTAATATTGCAATTGTAGTGAGCCCCGCTAGATAGCACGACTCAAAACTATATAATAAGTCACCTTGTGACTGGCAACTCCTCAGTAAATGTTGTGGAAAAAAGATTTGAAGTCAATAACTAAACACTTATGAACAATTTTAAGTATAATTTATTAACTGAGAGTGATTAAACCAGTTAGCCCAGTGGTTAACGCAAATATAAGGACTGATACTAAAGATTGGTCCATAACATTGGTTTAAAAATTGTGGAGATTTGTGTTTTATATAACTAACATGACATGGTCTTTAAAAAGTAGGGAAATCATATAATTAAATATTAATTTGTTATAAACAAAAATATTTTGAAAAATACTCTCTAAACAGCCAAACAAACATAATCCTTAATAATTAACAATTAATATATTTTAACACACAGTGACTACAAAAACCACAGTTAATATATTGCTCAAACAACTAGGTATGTGCAAAACAATGATTGACAAAAATTTACTAGAAATCTTGCTCATATATATTTCTGAAAGGGAATGTTGTCCAAATGGTACTTTTGTGAGATCATTTTTTGATTTTCCAAGAAGTTTTCATAATATATGTGAAAAACCAGTATAAAATGTAAGAAAAACGGGAAATGTAAGAAATTAATGCTTTTATTATTTTATCAATTTTGTTATTTTTTGTAATTCAGTTAGAAATATTCTTAAAGACGTAATTTAGTCAGAAAACTTATATTTGACTTTTCTAGACGTGATAAAATTTTCAAAAAATGTTAGCCATTTTTGAGCTATTTATAAACATTTTAATTTTGCGAATTTTGTACATAATTTTTATTCAATAAGTACTCTGTAGTAAAATTGTTAGAATTAACAGAAATGATTGAAAAATGAACAGGAAATTCATTAAATCTTACTTTGTGGTAAAAAAAATTGAGTTTAATTTCTTACCTATTTGTTTTTATAAAATAATTTTGTAGACAATTTTTTGGAACATATGTATATTGTCGATTTAAGAAGGATGGTAAAGTCAGATTGAGCGGATTGACAAAGTTTCAAAATTATAGCTTTTTGAAGTTCAGATATTATGCAGATATTACATATTTTTATGTTAAATAACTCAATATTCTCAATTTTATAATACATTTGTTGTAGTCAAATTTTCATGAATACGTATTGTCTCATATCAGTGGTCGCGGTTTCAAACCCGGGATTTCATAACACATTTTTGCAAATTTTTTGCGATAGCTAGGTCTCTAGCTCACTCAGACGATTTTAATTGAAAAGTACTCCTCGATTTGTTGTGTAAACTTTTCTACCAGAAATCTTGCACCCATTTATCAGTTGTAGTTTATTTTCTAAAAAGAAATTTTATCTTCATGGTTTAGGGAGGTCATTTTTGTGATTATTCAATTGGTTTTCATAATAACTAGGAAAAACCGGAATAAAATATCAGAAAAACAGAAAATGTACGAAATGTAGGTATTAGTAAAAAAATATTATGACCTTTTTTTTCTGTGTACGACTTTTCTACCAGTAATTTTGCTCCGATTTATAATGATAGCAATATTTCTAAAAGTAAATCTAACTGGGAAGGTACTTAAAAGAGGTCATTTTTCAATTTTTCCAATAGTTTTCTTAGCAAATGTGAAAATCAGAGAAAAAACATGGGAAAATGCAGGAAAAACGATACAATATTAAACAAATATTATTAAGGAAAATATATAATGTCTATTCAATTATTTTAATATTTTAATTATAATTATTTTAATGATGTATAATATACTGTTGACAAAGCATCACTATCAACTGAACTCCGTTCAGAATCGTTTTTTCATTAGCAGTGGTTTATAGTTGCTTACAGATATACATTAAATTTCCTATAACAGTGGCTGCATCCATCTCCATTATCCTAGAACGTCTTTTTTCCACTGGTTATTCAAATTTGTTGGGAAAACTCTTTGAAAAATAACCTTCCTAAAGTACATCCCCACACCGATTTCTTTTCAGAAAAGGTGCTACATGTAAAATTCGGAGCAAGTATTCTGGTAGAAAATTTGTGCACAGACAAGAAAAAAAAAATTAATAATAAATATTTTTTGTAAAACCATAAGCTTCTTTGCTCCACTCAGAATCTAAAATAAATAATATATTATATTGTGACTATCGGATATAAAAATCCTATTTAAAAATAATATAATGTTTATAACGCGTGTTTAAAATCAGACAAACTTTGTAATAACATTACTTAGGTATATAATTGTTTTAAATATATTTATATAAGAAATAAATAATAATTCCAAATTAAATTATAACACGAACCTTTGTCATCTTCACATAACTTAAAATAATATGCCAAAGATTATTTTGAATAAAAACAATTAATTTCATGTCAATGATCTTTATTTAAAATTGAATGTTTGACCAGAATACAATTTTTTTTATAAAACAGGTGTCATATTCATGGTCAAAAATATCTTAACAAAAACAACAAACTACACGTTTAACACGAGCTATAAAACCAACAATATTAACATTCCCAGAGTGTATAAAACTATCACCCAATCGTTACACACATTTGTAGGAACATATAAACAATAAACTTCCATAAGAACTACTTTGTGAAAAACTCAACATTTTTAAACTTAAATTACAAAATTGGCTTATGTAACAAACTGAAAACGTAATAAAAATACTCTCTTTACACGTCACAATGTTATTCTGTTTATTAATAATTGCTTTCCCTTATATTATGTATTTTCTAGTATGTTTAATTTGTGTCTTTTCTTTTAATTTGTTATTTTTATTCCTGTTGTTTTTCGTTTCTTTATGTTCTCTAATATGAATGCACTTGCCATTAAGTCAGTGATTAACTAACTATAAGAAAGCAATTTAAAAATTGTAAGAAAATGTCTCATTGGCTCCCACATGAGCATGCTCAGTGGGGCCCATTATTCTTTGAAATAAACGCTAATAATAATAATAATAATATTGCCCGTAATAAATACGTTATGTATGTATATATATATATATATATTTGTTCCATTGTAAATCGCGGATTAACGCATCGCTTTGATATCGTAAATAAAAGTTTAATCGAAAAACCGTAAATCGGAAATAAAACTACAGGTTTATATTTTCTAATATTTTCAAGTATTAGAAATTTAATAACGGTTGTAATATTTTGTGCGGTTAATATTACACCGTGTAAAATTAATTTTTTAATAACTTTTAGTGGACGATTTGTACCAATTTGATTAAAAAAAAAGGGAATTGGAATCAACATGTTTATATAATCCGCTGGAGTTGATGGCCGGTGCAATCGATACAATTTTTTAAATAAAAAGGTTATTTCAATAGGATATGCCCACGCCCCACACCATGAACTCCCTGACCATATCACCTCGGGGGCATATCCTCGACAAGCCTCAATCCGGAGCACGGGCATTAAAATCGCCACAATAACCCGATGCGTACATAATATAACACTCACTTCGAGTGCATTGAAAAAACCAGCAGAAAATACCTACCTAATTGTTAAATGGAATCATAATAATTAATAATAATAAACGTATAGGTAATCAAATATTATTTAACTATTTAAGTATACCGAGTAATATTCATCATTTAATAGTCCATCTATTAATCTAATACAGGGTGGTCCAACCTGTAGCCCTCAAAACCTTTTTATGTTCCCCCAAAGTTTAATCCTTTTTTTTTTAATAATTAAAAATTAAAGTCTCAATAATATTATAATAAAACTTACATCACACGCAAAAATCGCGTTTTATACACTAACAGATGTAAAATTAAAAAACTTAAATAACCTTTTAACGAGTTGGTGTCAAAAATAATAAGCTTGTCCAGACTTAATTGTAGGTTCTGTCAATAAGGTCTCCCTGAAGATGGTATTGGAGGTGATTTCACCGATCCCCTTCCCCCTAAAATATAAAATGTCATTTCTATCAGTCAGGTCGGTTGACTATCACAGGCTTATATCTCTTAGGTGATGATCTCTATGACATGGCTTCTATGATATTTTATCATACAAAGTACGTGGTATTAGTACCCCCCTCACAAGTGAAAATTTAATGTTATACCTAGTGATGAGTGATCGTGCCACCATAGAAGAATGACTGGTGCCACTAACATATTCTCATAATGACCCAAATTACTTCAATGAAATTAATAGGGCTATGAATTAGTTCGTGAGATATTTCACTTTTAATTTTAGGTGGGGGAGAGTAGTGGAGCACTAATCAAACGCCATGCTCCATGCCCCCATACAAATGATACTCCATATTCAAGCCATATCTACCATTGATTCAAACTTGTAATTTGTTTAATTTTTTTTTTTTAAATAAAGATACTGGAATATTAAGATACATATATACGTATTTCATTCAGATTTTATTATTTATAATATCGGTAATGTCGGTATTTAATGTTATACTGTCGCAGTTATAGATTTCAATAGACTGACCTAAACAAAAGTATTGGTTTCCTTTTTATGTTCTGCAGGAAGAACATTTTACTAAAGTACCATATAGTAAAAATTACTTATAATATACTTTATCAGGCGGCCAATTATTTTCTTATCCCAACTCT